CGAGATTGGTTTGGCATAAAAAGGCAAGAGCACCCATTTTCAAAAGATCCCTACGTACAGTTTATTGTGTGTACCTCCAAATATTTCACCACGACAGATATATAGGACTGGAGCCATTATTCATATGAAATACAGTAAAATTTTTATTCACCTATGAATGCGCTGACTGGCTCAGATAAGCCTCGGAAGGCTACCCAATGTTGAGATTCTGATCCTGGGTCAACGTGAATTTATGGGAAACTGTGCAGATGAAGGACTGCGATGATTTACTATTTTACTGACAGACAACACGAAGACAATCTAGTGCAGAATAATTGCAAATGCACTTGATTGATTTGATTGTACACAAATTTTCTCAACAATTGCAATATGTTTGGCTTGTTTGGCAACTACCTACATCCGTGAGATGCATTTTTTACATTTCATGTTTGAATATTTTGTGTGGTTTAAAAATTTATGCCGAAGCAGGACTCGCGCTCTTACAAATTGTCAAGTTGTTGGTATTTTCCCAGGAACTTTATCATTTTTGGGAAACTGTGTTGGAGTTTTGGCAAAAGTTTCAAAAGTTTTTTTTGGGCAACTTTGCAGTGTTTCAATATCATAAAATTTACTAGTAACTAGAACGCATATATTGCGATGTGGAGCTTTGAACATTGAGAGTGACTGAAAGTTTCTTTATACAACATTATATTCATGGGGTTCACCACTCTCTATGGATATTAGCCATGACTAAAATAGTTGTGACAGCAATTAGAAGTTTAATAGGTGGTACAAATAGACGTATTTTGAAAGTAATAAACTGATATTATCCTTGTGAAATTGTCCATGCTATTGGAATAATAGATTTGATTAAGCAAAAATTCCAATTTCCTGAGTAAAAACACATGTTCTTTATTTGAATGCACTTGAAACATTCCAGACATTCTTAAACCCACCTTCGAGAGAGTTCCTTTAGAGCAAATTTATGAAGCACCAGGTAAAGTAGAAAAATGATGAATGGAGTGGTTTCTTTTTCATGCGAAAATTACTTTTTTCCTCATGCAAATGAATAGTTTATCGATTTATTTTCGTCTTGTATGTGAAAAATGATTGCAAGCATTCGTGTGTGGGTTTATTATGGTCGAAAGAGTGCATTTTGCCACTCTCAATTGCTCACTTGGGGTGAAAGGTGCACAGTATATATTGTGGTACGAAGGGGTGGAAATTTATGAAAATAGCACTTTTCTTTATCACGCAAAGAACATGCTTTGTTAGCAAGACATTCACTCGCTTTCAGCCTGTTGAGTGCGAAAGGGCAGTAATAATGCAAAATAAAGGTATTTTTCTTCTATGATTTAAGACGACAACATTCCATAGAATTTCTCTCTCTGGTAGATTTCTGCGCTTTGAGGATCAGAATAATTAAGAATAAAAAAAAAACAAAATTCACCGTGACCCAAAATTCAAATAAAGAGAGAACCCTGGGCCACTTTGGAGCAGAAAAGCTTCTTATCTCATTCGTCCCGCTTAAAATTGATTAGAATAATTTTGCAACACCAAAATTTTAAGTCCACGTGCAAAAGTTTGCTAATGTAGAGACTTATACGTAACATATGTATACTGTCTGAAGTATACAGACACAATGTAACCTCGCTATTCAGCTCTCTCGCCACAGAAGCAGTTTCACACTGTCACGCCGAGTGTATTTTATCACAAAGATTGCATTGTGCAAGTTCTCAAGGAACTTTTCGCTGGGGTGGAACTTCAAATAATATTCTTAAAATTCTCTTTTGTAATATGGAATTTGGGAATTTCGCTCAAAATTACTCATAACACTGGCAAAGTTGTCCGCCGTCCTCATTCCCTTTATGTTGCCCATTGTTGTACAATATTAAATGGAAGTTAATTACAGAATTTATGGTGTGAGGCCATGTTCTGGGACACAAATGCCACGAGAAAATTGTCAAGTAATTAAATTTGAAAAGGAAAGTCATAATCTTCACCAATTAAAATAAATTGTTTTCGGACATTACCAGGCAGTTTATTATCACATGTAGAACATTAATTAGATCTGGTAGTCATAATCCACACCATGATAAATTCCACAAAGATTAAGTTGCGAAGAGAGCATCCACTGCAGAGTTGTTGCGAAAAGGCGCGCTTCTTCGCAAATTCTCCTGCATTGAGATTGTTGTTTCATCAAGGATTTTCCCCAGAATTTGTGGGTGAATTGAAAAATTGCTGCAATAAGTCCTTATATATTGCGGTGAATTTTTCATTTTTTCGTGTGCACACGGAATATTAAGCTTAAAGTGTTGTTTATGAGAGTAAATAAATTTGAGTAATTGAGTTTTGTACGATATCACCAGGAGAACTTTAAAGCCTACCCAAATGAGTCCATCGATATTGTGAATAATGGCGAACAGTTTATGCATCGCCACTTCTTCCATGTTAAGCGAAAAAGCATGAATATTGATTGCTCAGTTTGAAGTTGCCCTTAAAGTTGGACCTCGTAAATTAATCGATACTTTCAAGTAATGCATATGAATAACCGTGGTAATATCTCAGCAAAACTAAAATAGCTTTAGGTTTGTTTTAATTTGAGTGCAAAATTGCAGTTCAGGAAATCACATTTGCATGTCTACACAAATTTAATTGCTAGCCGTTTGGTGCATTACAAGTGCTAAAATATTTGAATCAGGAAACAGAGTGTTGATGCACTTTACTAAATATCCAGCATCAGCAGTTGCATCCCAGATAAGAACAATAAACGATATGAGTCTGTGCTGGCGATTTAACATGAAAATTCAGGAGATTAGGCAAAATGGACTTGCAATTGGTGCAGCATTTGAATTTGAAGGCTGAATTGAAATTCATGTTCATTTGTGTGTTTATTTTTGAATGTGCAAAAAATTCACCAATGGAGATTAAATAAAACGTGTGTATTCAATTTCCTGAATTGAAAATGCAAATTGTTATATAAATGTACATTATAATCATTATGCTCTGAATACATCTTGTACCAATTGATAACGGAAAGAATGACTTCTAATGACTTCCTCAATTGAGGAAATTCGAATGCGCGTGGTGAATTTTTATTCATCGCTCACAGTTTTTTTTTGTAGGAGAATCGTAAATGTATATAATTCAATGGACTTTATTACCGAGATACTTAGTAAAAAGCTGAGTAATTTTCAGCTGCTGATGCGGAAAAATTCCAGATAAATGGAAAAGTCACACGAAGGAAGAAAGAGGGCTATATTAAGTATCGTTTGCTTTGCTATACATATGTTGGAGGGGTGCAAAAAGCAATAACTTTCAGGCACATTTTTTGCACAAACAATTTCCTCAAACATATCGCCTCGATGTTTATGACTTGCGAAAAAGCGCGGGATAAAGTCTGGATGTACCACTCAAAGTCAATGTTATTTGTGTGAAATTAGAATGTTTTGGTAATGTTCTTCCGCCTTTTCTGCCATCAGCAGAGTTTATAGTGTTAATGTACCATGTTACATGAAGCGTAGTACTTTTTGGCGAAAATGTATACCTACATAGCCACTCTGTACATAATTTTTTGTACGTGCTCAACACACAAAGTTCGCTCACAGAGTCCTTGGGAGCTTTTTATCGCTCTCTATTTTTCCTCCTTTTCCCCCCGATCCTCGTGGCAAATTGCACTTTTATTTGTTATACCAAAAGGTTACAAGTGACGGAGAGCGAAAGAAAATATTCTGGAAAAGTGTCGAGGAGACAAGTTGTGCGCTCCCTCGATAAACGGACACTTGAAATGAATTCTTCAAGAATGTTGCAATCCGTTTAGGGCACACAATGGCAGCAAGGGAATATATGCACACGGTGTGTGACAAATTCAAGAGTTTGTAACTGCAATTGCGAGGAGAATAAGGGCGATATTTAAACAAAGGATCATATCATGTAATTGAGCAAAGGCGAGAGAGAACCAGCAAGTAATGTTGCAGCAATCAACAAACCAGAGAGATGAGTTTTTGCAAAGCTCTCCAGCGTGCTTTTTCCATTAAAGACAACACCCAGAAATCCTATTTATGACATTAACTCGCATAAAAGCGTGCATGAGTGCATCAAACTGCATCAGAATGCTGAACCACATGAACCGCATCTGAAAGCCACCAACGAACAGAGAATTTTCACTGAAAAATAAAAACTCCAATTGCAGCGCGACTATAGATCAATCGTTTAATCAATGTTGAATATTCAGGCGGTGATTTATTTTGTGAGAATTTTATTTCACCTTCCTTTTTTATCCCACTTTCGCTCATTTGACAATCCTCTCGTGGGAGCTTTCCTTCATTGGAATGCCAGTCAAAGTGTCCCTAACAAATGGAATTGTTCGCCAGGGACGTCTTTTCTATTCTCGTCAGTTGGAGTTTAAACAAGCACAGAGAACAAAAAAGCTCTTGTAGTACTTTTCGTAATTAAATGTAAACCAAAGTGTATTGTTAGTTCACAGAAACTAATCATCCGGAGATATTCGGGAAACATTCACTCTGATTGAGAAACTGCATTGCAATATCGCTATGAATGTATTTTAGTAAAATGGGGTTTGGCAAAGTTTAGTTAGTGTGCTGTTTTTTTGTCGTGGTGAATGGAGAGAAAACCACGAAATCAATTTTCTAACCAACATTGAATTTCACAAACTTGCTCAAAAAATATTCTTTTCAGAAAATCTAGTTAAAATTTGGGTCACGGATTTAGTATATAAACGGGGAATGAATAAAGAAAATCAGCAGAGATGGATGATGGTAATTTCCAAGGTAAATTGCAATTTATTTTCACAACTAGTTATAAGACCGTCTTCAGAAACACTCAAGTTAAGAAAAATGCGACAGAGAAAGACACATTTCTTAAGTACAAATATAAATAAACTCACACACTTTGTGTACAGGATTTTATGGAGTTTTTCGTATTCACAAATGTTAAGAAGATTTTTTTCCCAACTTATTCCTTTACATTTTCAATTGCTCAAAAAGATCTCTTTCTTTCAGAAAATGTCTATTTCGGATTTTCGGAAAAAGAAGCTTCTGTACGTGTTCAATGTTTTCTTCGGTGAGGAAAAATTTCAATATAAATGTACAAACTTTTTTCTTGGCGAGTTTAAAAATATATTTTTCTTTGCATTGCTGCGCTGCTGTGTAGACGTCAATCAGAGTGGAGAAATCGACATCAAAGACTTTGAGCAGGCCATTGAAGTGAGATTCAATAGTTTCATGGCATTATTTTCTCCCTCGTTTATCCTTTTTTTCTTCTTTCTTGCTCAATTAACAGAAAATATGCACGCTTCGTGGATGGCCGGCTGGTTCAGCTAAAAGCACAGAGATTCATGAATCAATGATAAAAATCTGGGAAGGACTACGTTCCAAAGCAGACAAGGATAACGATGGTCAGGTATGCATCGCAAATTTACACTCTAAGTAATTTTTCATCTCAAATTTATGACTTCATTCTAATTTGGAAGATAATGAATGTTACGTGAAATTCGTTAATACGCAGATTATTGCAGGGATTTCATACAAATCTCGTGGGAAACTTATCTTCTAGCCATAATACTGTGTATAGTTAATTTGGAGTGCTCACAGAAATTCGTGAAGCTTCTAATTCAGGTGTTTATCGAAAGAGAAAACAGTGAATAGCCAACGGCAGAAACACTTAAAGTTGTGAGAAATGACAAATTTCGTCAAACAAACACGAAATTAAAGTATCAACAAAGCATGAAAATCTCATATCGTCAGCGTTTGAACAGTAAAAGTTTTGTTCTTAAGTTAAGAGAAGTAACGCATGACAAGAACTTCATGCAATCTACTTTATTAAAAATACATAAAACGGAGCGTTTGGCGAAAACGTCATTGTTGCCCCAATTCTGTTATAAAATGCGCTGTCGCTCCATCGTTGACTGTTCTCAGCGGAAGTAAATTAAAGAACAATTGCCTTGCAAAGTAGAAATTAGAGAAAAGAAATGCTTCGGCCTAATTAAAAAACTTTTTGAGAAACTTCACAAGGCTTGCATGACGGATTATTGTGCAATGAAATGTTGATTTTAGACTAGAATTGCTAATTATAAGTTTCATTCGCTCCTTATTATTCATAGTTAAGGAATAGCTACTCGCATATTACTGTGGAATAATCACTCATTTCGAGATGAATTTGGTGAGCAAAGAGCATCGGAAATGGAATATTAATTACGAATTTGCCATTGTAATTAATATTGATTTGCAAATGAGATGAAAGTACATGTTAATATTTTTTACTCCCTTGACAATTGGAAATGTTAAATGAATCCCTTCATCCAAATTGCGATGTATTTAATTTGCTTGCGGCGCTTGATGTGATTCTGTATTGTGATGCTTTCTGAAAACACAAATTAATTTCCGTGCAATAGACACATTCAACCCTTTTGCCAGTCGAGAGTGATTTTACATCATCCAACGAACAATCTAATTTCACTCAACATCAAACGATCTGTAGACAGGAGCAAATGAAACCACTGTAAATCTGTATTTAGAGACTCTGCAGTAACTCTGCAGCCATACTTTAAGAGTAATCTCTGTCTTGAGGCTTCCTTGCAATTTCTTCTATCACACTGAATCATTTAATTACACAAGTATATGCATTTAAGAAGAATTAATGTTTCGTTTAAGATCTTCATCACAATTTGTTTCTGCTTATGCATAATGCAAATAGTGTTATGTCCTAAGCAGAATTTCCTACTTATTCATACGGAAAGCAAGCGAGCCAAGAAGCAGATTTATTAATTGCAATGATAAAACTATAGCCGAGTGCAGTGCTGAGTGCATTAGGCGACTGGCGGATTGTAGCCAAATCCTGAGCTTTGGGAGTGAAAATTAGTGGTTTATAGCAATGAAAATTAATTATGTATAATTAAATATTCATATAGGCAGTATGAGACACAGTGAGCGCCAAATTATCCAGGGCAACATCCATCCAATTTACTATGCATCATACTTTTATTCGCAAAGGCAGAGAGATGAAAGGGACCGAAAGCTTCACAGACAGATTCATTATGCAGCAAATCTCCTTAAATAAAGAGGACTTCTATTAATGTTTTTGCATATTTACACACTGGACGTGGTTTTTTTTTCAGGTGTCCGTGGAAGAGTGGTGTAATATGTGGGACGCATACGCAAAGGATCCCAGCACTGTAATGGATTGGCAGCATAGGTAAATGCGAAACGCTGTGTGATTATTAGTAGAGTAATTCGGTTTAATCAGTTTACAATCGTAAACATTTGCTAAATTAGTCATTCAATATGTTTATGTCTGCACCGCGTGACCAAAAATCAATTATAATCAAGTATTTAGCATTTCATGTGTGTTAATACCTGACGGAATATTATTATAATATATCGCACAGAGCTGCTGATAAATGCGAATTGAGAATGTGCTAACCACAAATTGAAATAACAATTAATGCATACAAATTGAACGAATGGGGTTTTCAATTAATACGTCCAGTAAAGTGTTTTATGTTCATAATCCAGTTTATAAACTTGCAAAGTAGAATTGGAGAGAGAGAAAAAAGACTCGGACATTTATAAGTATGTGAAAGTTTGCGTGACTTTCTGACAATTGCAAAAAGTTTCTGGCATTGGTGGCAAAAAAGCCACTGAAAGGCGATGTTAACCAAAGTTTATGGTAAAATCTTATTCATCATCTAAGTTTTTAATTTATCTTTCACACCGATTTCTAGTTCAAATAGTAGGTTTTCATATCTTTGGCACACAGAAATTTCATATTGCGGATAATGAATAATATGAAATTTATTCCCTGCAAAATCTCAGCACAAGAATTGAATCGATTTTGTGGGTTCAGAAACTAAAACAAGGACAATTTCGAACACTCCTCCAAGCGGAACATCCATTCTGCGGTTTTAGTTATAGCAAAAGGTATGCTTAAGACAGGCAATTCTAATCGCTATAAATCTCTTCCTAACCTTCAGATACATGAACTTCATGTTTGATTTGGAGGATGCTTCCAATGACGGCACAATTGATGCCAGGGAGTTTGCAACAGTTTGCTCAAGTTACGGCACAGACAAGCAGGAATGTGAGGAAGCATTTGCAAAAATGTCCAAGGTATGAAGTGAGCCAATGAAGGGATGTGTGCAGATATTGAAAGCCATACATTTTTGCCACCACAGGGCGCCGAGGAGGTGACTCGTGAGGAATTTGCTGAGTTGTGGCGTGAATACTTTGCATCGGAGGACCCGTCTGCCCCGGGAAACTACATTTTTGGAAATTTGTCTTTCTAAATCAAAAAGCAGCGGAGATTTTTGAGCATTCACCATTGGTCAATAAGGAATCACAAAGAAACGAATATTCATTAAAAAGGAAAATAGTGAGATAAATTAGATAAACTGCCAGAGAGTAATTCTTCCTGTTCACTTTCTCAAATTTTACAATCAGTTCTGAAGATGAAAAATAATTCAAGTGAAAGAGAATTATCACTTTTCTCCAAGTATATTTTCTGCCTGATGCAAGCCCAAGGATGTAACTTTCACATTCCTGATATTCATATTAATATATATTATATATTATATATTTACTCTTCAATTTCAAAACTCCACGATCGTGAAAATGCGGAGTAATTGGTGCGCAGTAGGAAAAAACAGTGTTTCTTCTTCAATCTAATCTTAGCAAAAAAATCTGACGATTGAGAATTTTTTGTTAGAAAAGAATTAGGTGTGATATAATTAGATTGGAATCTTTGTAACATTTCACATTCTTGTACTATCTCTTAAAAGTCTCTATGAAAGAAGAAAAAAAAGAAGAACAACAGCAACTTTCTCTGCAAGTGCGAGAAAGTATAATTTTATGATCGAACTATATAGTCAATACAATTGTTGTGCATTGCAATACATCTTTTTTAAATTTGTGAACGGAACAAGGGATGAATTTAAAGTGAAAATATGAAAAATAATCTCAATTAAGATGAAGCACAAAATATATTATGAGGAATTGTTGATAGTGTATAGAGTTGAAGGTGGCGAACAGTTTCACAAAACATTGTCAGGAATTAAAAGTATGATATACTTTAGCAAAAAAAAATTGATGAAACTTAAACAAATATATGACTGTTTGGTGTTACACATTTTCTCAGATGAACTCCAGCTGCGATTGGAATTAACTTTAACTTCTGCGAAATGAGAAAAAGTAGCAGAAATCCACATCTCTTCACTTCAACTGATTCAAAAGAAGAATTGAGAAACAATAGTATGAACTTTGTGACTAAAACAAAATGCTCTTTCAATCAAAAGTTACTGTGAAAGTATCCAAACACACACAAAAAAAATCTAACCTCTTCATGGATAAAAATCAATTGTATTCGTCTGTAGACAGTATATTCGAGCGTTATCACAATTGTACGGGGAAAGTCCACTCAATTTAATTAATCGAAGAATTGTGGATTTGTTAGGATGACGGGTAAATTGTATGTGACGTTTCGTGAAGCATTGTAAAGTTGTGAAAACTATTCTTCGATATGATAATAAATAAAGTAAAATTTATTGGATGCAAAAAAGGGGATTGTGTACTTTTTCTCCCGCATTAATTTCATCGTTTTGAACGTGAAGAGCATAAGCTTTTTGCTGATTTTCAGTGCGGATAAGCAGCGCAGTTCCACGTTTCAGGTATGCATGAAACATCGTGAAATCTTCCTATATTTCATGGGAAGGATATATTTTATGTACATATTTCAGAATCACTCCAGAACCTCTTTACCACACTATTCTCAGAATTACTTTCCATTCTCACGTTTCGCATAACTATACATAATTGCATGTATTTTTGTATTCATAGATTCCACTCATGTGAGGAAATTGTGAGCAAAAGCTCCCCTGGCAAACAGTCAATTTTCAAGAATATATCAAAATGTATTTGTCAGCATTTGGCACAAACCTCAATTTCCTCTGGCCTCTAAAATGACTGAAGTGCTAGGGAACGACACTCTGAAGGTAATCTCCTATATGGACGGTGCTACAAAAATCCCATTTTGAGTGATATAAATCATGCGATGCATTTTATGTCACTCCAGAATTTTTGCAAGGTTCGAGGAGGAGCTATAAAAAATATAACGCCTCAACATTTTATGACGAATGCAACCATTAATCCTGGCAGTATTTACAATATTTCCTGCCAAAGGAAATACACATTTTATGGACTTCTTTAAAGAAGAAAAAAATCCATTCGCCATCCACAATGTCATTGCAATACACTCAGTCATCAGCATTTTCTGGCTGTCCAACTGAAATTTCTCCCTTATTATGTGTGGTGCAAAGAGTTTTTGTTGTGAAACTTCACGAAAAGTCCAAACAACTTTTGCTGGAATACAAATCAAATTTCTTGAAAGCCTTTACTTGTGTGCTTTTTGCCAAATTCTCACTCCAATTTACTTTGCCGAGAGCTTCAATGTCATAACATTATTGCGAAGAAGTGCTTCACTTTGGCGAATTTGGGTCAAATTTTTGCTTGAATTTTCGGAAAGAAAGGCTTTTGTAACACATAGTCGATTAAAGCACAATTTAATAATGCACCTTCAGCAGAATCAAGATGAGCTTCACTCTGAGAAAGCTCTCAAGGTTCATTCTATTAAATCACTATTAAAAAATTAGACTAGAGCGCAAGTCTTTTTTTTACAACTTTATTGAAGTAAAATGGATTATAATTGTGTATATATAATAATACTTGATTCATATTTAACAGTAAATTTGGGTGTATCTGTTCATTTGTTTCTGTGTATCATTTCTGAATAGAAAAAAAATCATAACATACAAAACTACAAAGTTAGATGCTCAAGATCTCTCTACTAAACCAATTAATCCAACATTTAAATGATAGGAAAGTATAAATATACAATTTTTCACTTAGTTTCTCCGCCATCATCTTCAAATTTTGCTTGTCACTATATAAGTGTAATTCGTTGTACGCATACATCATTTCCACTCCCATAAAAAATGCCTATATTTCTTATGAAACAATTTTTTCCGCATAAACAGAATCGTTCTCTGTTGTGGTTATTTAGATTCAGAATTCGTCTTATCTTTGTATAATTAGATTTTTAGATGTTTATAATTGCAATAACTGCATTCAAAGACATTAGCTTTTGCTCACTATTGTGTTCTTTTCTTTCTCTCTCTTTTTTTTATCTGGAATGTGTATAGTTTATTTGTTTGAAATATTCGATTTCCATTCATCATTCCTCCTGTTGAAAATAACAAGTTAAAGTGAATATTTTCCCGACAATAAATCGCTTGTGAACTTGGCCATGTTCTAACAACTTCCATTTTTCATTTTTTAAACATATCGCTTTCTTACAGGGAAAGCAACATTTTGTAACAATTTTTTTTTTATTTATTTAAGGCAAACCATTTCATATTTGCTTCAGATGATACTGCAACATTTTTTTTCTCTTTAAATAGTCAATTTCAATGTTAAAGCTTTTTATAACTTCATATTTTCCTCTTCATTTTTTTCCTTTTAGTATGTTTTTAATGTATAAGTTTATCAACAAATATGCGCAAATTTTACATTACAAGGAGCAACATTATCATTAATCGTGTGAATTCGTTTCCAATTTGTGTGTGTGTTTCATCATTAGAAATTAATAATCGAAGAAAAATGGTGAGAAATGCAGCAAATGCCAGAGAAATGAAGAAATTCGTAAGTGGTTCAGTGTCGTGTTTAGTAACAATTTATAATTATTTATGATAGAACTTATAACGTATGAACTATTGTCAAATTTTTCTTCCTCCACTTCTTCAGCCGATGTTTTTTTTATATCATCTTTCTTATCTACTTTACTTTCTACCTTTTTTATCGTTAAATTTCTCTAAGAAGTCAAATACAATTATAAGCAGATTTTTTTTTCCTTGAATATGCTTCATTAAAATTCAATGTTTCATTCGTCTATTTGTTGTTCATTTTCTTTTAGTTAGGGGAATTTATAATTGCTTAAAATCTAGTAATAATTCATATTAAGGAAATAATCTATGTTCTCTGAAATCCTATGATTTTTTTTCTTCTTCTTCTTTTATCTCATTGTCTACAAGCCCAAAATTTGATTCTTACGCGTAGCTTCTATTTATTAATGTCATTTTTTCTCTTTTAGTATTGAATCTTTTTTTGAAAAAGTGTAGTTTAGCTGTTCACCTCCCAAAGCTTCTTTATGTCCATCAAAATGATATTTCTACACGTTTAATAAACGCCTGGTGAAGTCGATTAAAGGGATAAATGCAATCTAATTGCGGAGGGTTATGTTATAATGTTGTGCTGAATGTATTCAAAATGAAATCAATACAAAAGATCGAGATTGCACATATTCTTTTTATGCTTAAGAGTCAATTATGACTAATTTAAAAGTAATTAAAAAATTGATCCCATTATTTCTGATTGAAATTTATACATACGGTATTTTTTTTCTTTTAGATCTATGATAAAAGCAATAATTTATAACTTTCTTTGTCACAAAAACTAAGAGATCTCTAAAGGACATTTAAACTAACTGAGAAAATATACAAAATTTCACTCTCATCTACTACTTTTCTAAACATCCACTTTTCTCTCACTCTCACTTTAATTCGGTTTGACTAATTTTCTTTTCTCTTCATAATCTCTTTATGCAATATGTATAGTTGTTGCTGGATGATATGTGATTCTTCAAAAAATGAACCCAAAAAATATATTAGAACATTGCTATATATGTAATGTTTTCACATTGGAATGTCTTTTCATGTGTAAATTCTGGTGAAAATATTTCTTCGAGAAATCATCTTGCCTTCCTTCCCCTTTATTCAATACTACATATCAGCTAATCTACCGTGTTGCTAATATTAACTTTTCGGTCACAGAAAAACTATTACGGAAATATTTCATTGAATCGTTTCATTGTGCTGCAAATGGTGTCAATTTGAAGGTATTTTGACAAACTCCAGTTGTAAGTACAAGTGTGGCAATTAACATTTTGTCAACTCTATTAAAACCAAATACTATAACGACAAATTCGTTTGAGTGTTAGCTACAAATGAAAGCAAAAGTGTTACTGAACAACAAGTAGTTTATCTCACCTATGGAACAAATTGTCTACTCTGAGTTTGTTGTCATACTAATTCACGAAGTAAAGTTGATAAATTGGAGTGAAAAGTATTCCCAATACAGCTTGACTAAATGGAATTTAAATATTACTGGGTGATAAAACAATTTGTCTTCCTCAAGTATTTATATACATCAAAGTTTTTTCAATTCATATACACACTTTGGATGAAATATTTACAGTTTTTTTTTGTTTAATTCAAGATTACTTTACGACTATTAAAGTTCCTTTACGAATAAAAGTTCAATAATAAAATATACTCTTGTATTCATTCACCATCATCAGATTGATTAATTTGAAAGGGAGAGAAACTTACGATTGAAAAATTCTTGAGATTCCTCTCATGCATGTCCACATTTTCTATATAGCTTTACATTACATGACACTTCTCCTTAGCATTCCCACTACTCCCCTCGCCGCCCTCCTGAGTTATGGTTCCATTCGATACATCCTTATTCTTCTTCGGTTTAGACTTCTTGTTCTTTTTGCCGTCCAACTGCAGAGACACACTTCGGTTCTTCTCCATATTCAGCAACTCCTGTAAATTGTGGGTGGAGAAAATGTACAGTTTTAGTATTGTGTGTGTGTGGAAAACTATGAGATCTATTGAGCTGCATTGCACCCATTGAACTCTCCAGTGCACACATTTCACGCTTGTTAACAGTACCTGAAAGAGCTCTGTAACATTGTGATTTGTTTTTGCCGACGTCTCCATGAACGAAACACCCATGAGAGAGGCTTCTGTGGATCCCTCAGCCGTTGACACTTCGCGCAACTCAGCACTTTCGTCGCATTTATTGGCAACAAGCATCACCGGTATATCACTAATGTTGGGCTTTAGCTCTTTGATAAGATTCCAAATGGGACGCAATTCCTCCAAACTCTGCTTCGAACACACCGAGTAAACCAGAATGAATGCATGGCCCTGCAAAAGGCAGATGAAAATTGATCCTCTGCAAAAACCACACACACACACTTTGAGCCTCATGTGCATACCTTCGTTATGGAGAGCCTTTGCATGGCCGGGAATTGGTGGGAGCCTGTTGTGTCGGTTATTTGAAGTGTGCATATGGTTTTGTTGGAACTAATTACCTGTTGAAGAAATCACAAGTGCTCGTATGAGTTCAGTGTCCTCATATTTTATTTACTCTCCATCACACGTGTGTGGAGGTGTATTTATACCCGCAGGGATGAGAATATCCTTAATTTAAAGCAAACCCCAGTCATGAATCTGTAATATTCCCAGAAGAAATCTCTCAAATCACTATTAATTTTTGCATGATATTGATAACAATCAATCCCTGAAAATTTATTTCACAATTAAATTATTTCACAATAAAGTATTCATTTGAGACTTTCAGTTAATATAACCGTTTCTGTCAATTTCATGTTTATTGGAGCTTAGATGGAATTTATTGATTGCAAAAGGATTTATAGAGCAAAAATGCTCCCAATAAATTTACGAAATGCCAGAGAGGAAAATTCTACACATACATATAATAGAGTTTCAGGCGCTCTTGTAGTTCGTGCTAATTTGAAGGCATCTTGTATGTAATTCCTGAACAACCATTTCGATTTTTGGTGACCTCCCCTAAGGCCAGATCACGCACATGAAACACCCTCTTTCTCTCCCCTATTTATAACCCTCCTTCGCCGCACATTTTAAATTTTCACTGTGCTTTGTGTAGTGCATTGAAGACGGGGAAAAGTTATAATAGAGAGGAGAGAAAAAAACATTCAATGAACATGTCAAATCAGAAAAATGAGGTCAAATTAATTTCTCTTGGCATTCATTGAATGAGCTTTCCCACCGAAATGCCAATTGTGCAACCAAATGATTCGTGGCATAATTTATTGATGGATGCTTCAGTCTAATATCGACTTTGTACATCAGAGAGTGATTTTCTATGCTAAATATTATTCCCGGTATACATATTTGCGGATTATTTTAACCAAATTGCCAAAGGTTGGCATTATATTGATTCCCTCCCTCACGCTACACCAGGAAAATGCTATCATCGAACTCCTAATACCCTGGAAATTTTCGTGGAAAAAGGGTAAACATTTCGCTATTCCTGTGCCATTCATTAAATTATCATGCCCAGAAATATCGATGAAATTTTAATTACTGATTTAAGGCAATTATCAAAAATTTACGACACTTTTAAACAACATCCTACACATTCAATTTCATCACGCCCTCGTATAATTTCCCAGATTGGCCCACACAGGAGTCATCTGTGAATAACATATTTATGAGAATTCGAAGAATTTTTATCAAAGAAACAAAAAAGGAGAGAGCGACATCATGATGTGTCTGGGGGTGTTTCACAGCCCACGAATAATTTAATGAAGCGCCCCGATTCGGTGTCAGAAAAGGTCATGCGAGAAGAGATTTTCCCACTGCGTGGAATGCAACTGTGGGGGTGGCGCTGATCCTGGGTCGCCACTTGTCGGAAGGCCCCCCATTTGACTTGAGCGAATCCTATTTCCGCCTCCGGGCTTAAGCTCCGCAGATTGACGGGGAAAATAGCCCGGATTAGAGCTAAGACACCTCCAAGGCAAACTGGCAGATATCAATTTGTGGAAAAAATTAAAATGCATTCACAGTGATCCATCGAATCCCACAGAGACGTCTCAGCCCACCTACACTCGACCACCCACGCGCCTTCCACTCGAGCACATCGCATCCCAAGGGGTGAGTCAATATAATATTTAAGCGCTCATCAATGTGCGAAGGTAGAAGGGCTAATGATCTATTTTTAGAAATGGAAATTCCGATGGAAAATAACATGATCCTTTATGCAGGGGAATTTTAAAGAAAATTCGAGGTAAACTCTTGCGTTACGGGCTTAGCACACTATGAATTTTTGGATCGGTTGCCAGATTTTTCTCTGTCGTTTTAACCCTTTTTTCGCTTCATATTTTCTTCTCCGATAAACTGTTTTTCACAATAAATTGTGAAATTATCATAAAGAAGTGCAAAAACGTTCTGAGGGAGTGACAATGCTGTGAAAACAGCTGTTAGAAATCTGCAATATTAGGGGTGTCCGATGGGAAATTATTTCTCCAATTTTCATTAGCAAATCACCGATTTGATGATTCTATTTGTATTGTTTTGAGGCAATTAAACCGTGCTTTTACCCACTAATTAAACCTACGCCTTTCAACTGAGGTTATTTTCAGCCGAAAAGAACGCTTAAATATGTTTCTCCAAAACAGTTGGAAAGAAACCATTCACGTCTGCTAACGTGGGTATACGTATATGCATCACCTAAAGGCTTCAGTGGCTTTCGGAGCGGGAAAGTGAGCGGAAAATTTGTTTGCTTTTGCACAACCCCTCGCATCATTTTCCGTATCGGAACGGATGATTGGGCACCTCCCCGCCCATCCCAGCGCCCCAATGTGATATTTAAGGTGGTTAAAATAGGTATCGCTTCTCACCTGACGGTAGGTGTCTTCTATTGTGGGAATGTAGGAGTCACGAAAACTGCCTGTTATGAAGCGGATGACCTGCAGAAGGTAAGGGTGTATTTTGAGTGAGGGCTATTTTCGATGGACGCCCGGCTATTTTGACCACCTGTGACGGCAGCTGCTCTCAACGCTGGGGTGTGACTTACCAGAGAGGACTTCCCGACGCCACCAGCACCGAACACAACCACCCTGTAGTCGTTGCTCTGCTCTGGCATCGCGCCCAGTTTCAACGCCTTGGCTGCTATTTTGACGCCTTTTCTTGGAACCGTGCGACAAGGAAAAAAGTTGCTCCAGGGACACCCCTGACGCCCGAGATGCGATTTCTACCTCACCCAACGACAGCACTGAGCCAGTCTCTCCCTCACATATGCACCCCCGATGCGAGGATGAAGCGCGATAAACACCCACAATCACTTTTTCACTCTTATCATCTTCCACCAGTGGACCCCTTTTCCGCGAAAACACCCAGAGATCTGGTCCGAGAAGGGCACTTTCCGCGAGCTTCGATGTAACGTTGGACGTGTTTTGCACGGCTTGTTCGTTCGTTTGCAGCCACCAAGGATTGCAAGAAGGTAGAAAACGAGAACTAAAATGCGATGTTGGGAGAATGAAAATTTTGACAGATTTTCCGTGATACGGGAACGCCGCACTCTTAACCACTTCCAGTCTACCCCGCAAATTTTCACTCAATGGAAACTCGGTGAAAATTTCCCGGGATAACGGGCCAAAACCTCCCCGCCGGCTGGAAGCTTTATCCAAGAACGTGCCGTCCCCACTGGAAAGTCCACTTGACGATTTTCCTTGGCCTTGCTGTCCGCAAACGACCATTGGACGTCTCGTTCAGAGGAAATGCCAAGGAAATGAGAAAAAATGCAGTGAAGATGATTTGAAATTGCATAAAAGAAATTTCACAGATTAGGGATTATGAATGACGTAGTAAAGCATTTTGGCCGTTCATTGAAAAAAACTCCGGACTGGAAACTCGCATTTGAGCTTTCCAAGCTCCACTCGCGGCACAGCTAGTTGTCTCACTCGCACTCGCACGGCAGGCGGAGTGACAATTGTAAAGTGAGATGACATGCTCTTGAGTGAGTGAAGATGTTTAAAAAGAAATCGTCAAAATCACACTCAATTCCCCATGCAGGTTCGTGAAAATCCACCTCAAGCAACACTCTGTGATTTCCCAATCGAATTGGAGTGATTTCTCTGCAAAATCATCCATATTTCACTGAGAAACATCCCTCGAGCAACACCTATCGAAGATCCATTGGAAGTGATAAGCGCCATTCTTGACGTTTCCCGACGAATTTTCGTTGAGTTTTGGTGACGTGTAAGAAAATTCGTCGGTGTTTCTGAAATCTCTTGATTTTCTGCGATTTTTCGTGTGAAAATCTCCTTTGAAGGCGTGCAAAAGTGTTGAAAAGGCTGCAATGAGTTCTTTCAAGCGCGATAAGAAGGAGGAGGAAGACGGTATTGCCTTGTTTCACGATGTTTTCCTCTGCCAAAGATTGTTGCCTGCGTGGTGTGTCAGAAGGTGATCGGCTCAATGTTTTGTCGCTTTTCAGGTGGCGGAAATCCGTTCCAGAACCTCGAGAAGACCTCCGTCCTGCAGGAGACGAGATCCTTCAACGAGACCCCCGTGAATGCTCGCAAGTGCACGCATATTCTCACCAAGATCTTGTATCTCATCAATCAGGTTAGTTTGCAATGAAGTCCGGGACAGTACAGTCGCGGAAATAGTGAAGCATTGCAATTGGGGCCCCTTTTTGAGGCTTTATCTGATAAACTTTAGGGTATAATGACAATTGACATGATGATAGAGCTATTTTAGTGTATTCTGGAGAAGTTAGGGAATCTGAGGAGGTATTTTTCTCGCTGTTTCCTTTTCAAAACCTCCCTCGGCGGGATAAACTGGACAGCAGCTCGGGTTCCTTCGTGCTTGTGGTAAAAGGAGCAATTCTTGACACGCTGAAAGGGATGAGAAAGCATGTAGAGTGATAAGAGATGTCAGGGCAGCTCTATTTCCTCACCATAAACTTTTCCAATTCCCGGACTTTGTTGAATCTCATCATAACTCGTCGAGGCTTCTTCAAATGCACTTCTTGGCTCATGCAGGGCCGACAGAGATTCCGATTCTTGCGGATGTTGCGCCAAAAGCAGCCTTCGGGGATTTTTGTGCCACAGAGAAAGCACAAAAATGAGGGTCTTGGACCACAAAGCACGACTACGGATGATTTCTTGTTGAAAACACTGTCAGATGGATAAGTTCCTGGGCTGTAAGATGAAAAATTAATCATTTGTTTGGGAAATGACTCTAATTGTTACCCTGGAGTTCCAACGCGATCGTCCAAGAGGAATTCCTCGCGTTTGACAAGAGATTTGTTGAAGGAGAGATTCTTGAAAATGTCTCTCTTCTGTCCAGGATACTGAAATGTGCGGAAAGTTTGTTGGGCATTTTCGGCAAATCTGGGAACTGTTGAGGCGAAAACACTGGATAAATTGCGGTTTTCCTTGAGTGTTCCAATTATGCTTGGTGTTGTCCTGTCTGCGGGGAAAACACAGGACTTTGTGGATATCCTGGGAAATCGCTCGCGACTAGAATTGAAGCAAATTCTCGCTGGAACATTCTCCTTAACCACATATTCAAACTTGAGCTCCTTCAGCAACTCCAGAATGATTCTGTACTCATTTCGGGTTTTTCTTTGTCTCTCGCGCTCGTATTCATCGTAAATGAACATCTTCCTCGGTAGACAGACGGCAAAGGACTGCCTCAATGCGAATTCCTCCATTGAAAATTAATTCATGATACTCTCCTCATTAATTCTACGGATTTCTTGCGTGATTGATATCACTTGTCACATCGATAATATGCTAATTTAATCAATAGCTCTCCTTTCGATTTTCTCGTTGAATTTATGATAAGTGTCTGCTGTATACATAAATGATAATTGGCTCTTTTTGGATGTCCTTTATCGTATATGGAAATGTAGTAATGCCGGAATTCATTGGCTTCTTTTTCCGCAGGGTGAACAACTGGCTGCGCGCGAGGCGACGGATTGCTTCTTTGCCACCACGAAGCTCTTCCAGTCGAAGGATGTCATTCTGCGTCGGATGGTGTACTTGGGCATCAAAGAGCTGAGCTCCACGGCGGACGATGTCATCATCGTGACCAGCTCCCTAACGAAGGACATGACGGGCAAAGAGGATCTCTATCGGGCGGCCGCCATAAGAGCCCTGTGCAGCATCACGGACGCCACGATGCTCCAGGCTGTGGAGCGCTACATGAAGCAGTGCATTGTGGACAGGAATGCGGCCGTGTCGTGTGCGGCTCTCGTGAGCTCCCTGCATCTGACCTCCACGGCTGGCGATGTGGTGAAGAGGTGGGCGAATGAGGCACAGGAGGCGCTCAATAGTGACAACATCATGGTTCAGTACCACGCTCTGGGCCTTCTCTACCACATTCGCAAGTCTGATCGCCTGGCGGTGTCGAAGCTGGTGAATAAATTGACGCGGCAGAGCCTGAAGAGTCCCTACGCTGTGTGCATGCTCATCCGGATCGCGTCGAAGCTGATCGAGGAGGAGGACCAGAGCACTGGCGGACTGCAGGACTCACCCTTGTTCGAATTTATTGAATCATGCCTGCGGCACAAGAGCGAAATGGTCATCTATGAGGCGGCGCATGCGATTGTCAATCTGAAGAGGACTGGGCCGCGTGAGCTGGCTCCCGCCGTGAGTATTCTCCAACTGTTCTGCGGCTCTCCGAAGGCCACACTGCGTTTTGCTGCTGTGCGCACGATGAACAAGGTGGCCATGCAGCATCCTGCCGCCGTGACGGCATGTAATCTCGATCTGGAGAGCCTTATTACTGACTCCAATCGCTCCGTGGCCACGCTGGCCATCACGACACTTCTCAAGACGGGCGCTGAGAGTTCAGTAGAGCGTCTGATGAAGCAAATTGCCACGTTCGTTGCTGAAATCTCTGATGAATTCAAAGTGGTGGTCGTGCAGGCCATCCGGGCGCTGTGCTCCAAGTTCCCACGCAAACATCCAGTGCTCATGAACTTCCTCAGTGGGATGCTGCGAGAGGAGGGTGGCCTGGAATACAAGACGTCCATCGTCGATACAATCATCACAATCATCGAGGAGAATCCGGACGCTAAGGAGGCGGGATTGTCGCACTTGTGCGAATTTATCGAGGATTGCGAACACACTTCCCTTGCCGTGAGGATCCTTCATTTGCTGGGCAAGGAGGGACCGTTCTCCAAGTCACCATCGCGCTACATTCGCTTCGTCTACAATCGCGTCATCCTCGAGAATGCCACAGTGCGTGCGGCCGCTGTGTCAGCCATGGCGCAATTTGGGGCGTCTTGTCCGGATCTGCTGCAGAACATCCTCGTCCTCCTGAGTCGCTGCCAAATGGACACAGACGATGAGGTACGCGATCGCGCTACATACTATCAGACAATCCTAAAATCCGCCGACTTGAGTCTGTCGAAGTCCTACGTGACTCACGATATGAAACTTTCCCTGCCACTGCTCGAGCGAGCTCTCAAGGAGCACCTCAATGGCGCGCTGACGGAGAGATTTGACCTCAGCATCGTGCCCAACACAGCTCCCGTCCAGGAAGAGACGCACAACGATGCAATGATCGTGACAAATAGTGAGATTTGGCGTTGGATTTGGTTCAGAGCAGATTTATTGAGATGTTTTGTGCTTTATAGGTGTTCCGAAAGCCCCGAAGATCACACGAGAGGAGGCCAATGCCGAGAAATTGTCACAAATTCCTGGTATTCAACGCTTGGGTCCCATCCACAAGTCCTCACTTCCAGTTCAGCTCACTGAGAGTGAGACTGAGTACACGGTTTCCTGCATAAAGCACTGTTTTGCTCATCACATGGTGTTCCAGGTGAGCTTTTAGCAATAATTTAATTTCATTGATAACAATTTAATTGTTAACGAGAATATTGACTTCAATTATGGGGAAATTTATGGGCATATTTGTGACACGTTAAAATGCAGTAAACTCTAAATGCACCTTTGAATCACAAAACACATCAAAGAGGTGGAGTTAATAATTATTTGACCTCTATTTTTAAGAAGATGTTTCACAATGTTTGTATAGTAAAACAAACTGACGTGGGCCAATCAATTATAAACTCGAAAAGACCGCTCCTTATTCATCAATTCAATTAGCAGATTAACTGAGTTGAAAGACAGAAACTGGGAGCAGCAATTATTTGGCAAACTTTGAATTTATAATTAAGACACAGCTTTATCTACTCTGGGAGTTCAACTATCCCATCTTTCACCAGCAAACTGTACTTGAAAGTTGTTTGAAAATTAGCGCAAAAGTGACTTAATTGTTTTTCTCGTTGCTCACCAAAATGGCAAAGATGGGTTTTGGTGGATGCGAGAATAATAATCGAGTTGATGTTTATGAGCATGGGAAGAAAGGCTGAAGAGTCTTAACCGGAGTCTGTTGAATATTCCATCTCGGCAATTAAACGTGTTCCAATCCAGAGAGTGTCGTAAAATATTTTAATAACTAGAGGATATTTGTGCAGAACGGCATTTTATCGATAGTGAGAGTGAATATTGACGCTATCGATGGGCGCATTGTAATTAAAATGTGCGGAGATAGTCTGAAAAGGCTGAAATATACAGCTGGTTTTTCGTGAAAAATTTTAATACCGCATGTTTGCATCTGTTTCAACTCCAATTGCAGTTCGATTGTGTAAATACACTATCTGATCAATTGCTGGAGAATGTTCGAGTGGAACTTGTGCTTCCGGATGGATTCATTGCTCGTGCCGTGATACCGTGCGCCAAGCTGCCATACAGCGAAGTGGGCTCAACCTATGTGATCGTGGAGTATCCCAGCGATGTGCCCAGCTCTGTGGCGACATTCTGTGCCACGCTGAAATTTATTGTGAAGGACTGTGATCCCGCCACCGGTCAGCCGGACTCAGATGAGGGCTACGATGATGAATATATTCTGGAGGATCTCGAGATCACGGTGGCGGATCAGGTGCAGAAGGCGAAGAAGAGCAATTTCGGCGCAGCATGGGATGCGGCAGACACCGAAGGTGAGAGAGAGATTGGCGAGAGCGCGCGTCTTTGCGATAAGTGAGCATGATAATTGCCTGACTCTCTTTCTCTTCTGTCTGCGCAGATTGGGTGGAAGCTGAAGATACTTATGCACTCTCAGCGGTGAATACACTACAGGAGGCCGTCAATACAATTTTGAAATTCCTGGGATTGAGTGCGGCCAGCATGTCGGAGAAGGTGGCCGAAGGGACGCACACTCACACTTTACTTTGCTCAGGTGAGATCGCATTTCTCTTATTTCTCCCGTACTGTCTCTCAATAATTATCACCATTTATCACCAATATTCCTTAATTCGCGATGCCAAGCGCGCATTTTCGCGCATATTTACCCATCTGTTGCTCATGTATTGAACGCGACCGGAGAGAGAAAAATACGTTAGTCCATGTGGTATTATGTAAATTATGCGATTGTATACAATGAAAGAGTCTCGAGAGTATGACGATAAGAAATTTTGAAATGCCTCAAAGCGGATTTCGCAAGTTATTCGGTGATTTTTTTGTGCTTAAGTGAATATTGTCATTATGATAACGTCTCGATGTTGTTTATCTCGCGAAGTTTTGTATTGAAATTAGAGGGAGAGCAAGAGGGTGAGAGAGAGAGAGAGAAAGGATACAGTACGATCAATATTTATGCAAATGTTAAACTATCGAATGCTTTCGCATGTTGAATTTTTCTGTTTGATACATCGCTGTGGAGGATTAAAAATCCCCTCCATCAATTGGTGATGCTTTGGTGAATGAGAATTAAACAATTAAAGGGTAATTAATTCGCACAGTGTTACATATGTATGGGGAAAGAAGCCCCATAGCGTTTTGTGAAATATGTATTAACTGTCCAGCAAAGAGGATAAAGAAACGAAAGAAAGAAGAGGTGTTTCCATTTGGGCAGAACTTTATCCATTCGTTTGCATAAAAGTCACATTGGGAAAATGTTATGCGGGTTTTGAAAACTTTATCTGTCGACATTTTGCAATGGGAGAAAAGATATTACATTATATATATATATGTGGTGCACAAGGGAGGGGCTCAGATTTTCATGTTTGAAAGTCTTTCACAATTGCTGAAGGCACACTTCTAGGAGAGATATCTCTCATGTGCAATGTAGTGTTGTGGGTTAATCTGCTGACGACTGAAAGAGACACATTTTACCTCTTTTGAGTTCTATTTCTGGCCATTTTACACTCGATTGATAAAATGTATCCATCTTCAAATGGCATAGCAAACCCTTCTCTTGCTTCTCTTCCTTCTCTCGCTTCTCATGTTGATTCATCCATCGATGGATATTGGCTTCTGAGGTTCAAGGATGCACAAATTCTCATGAGATGTTGTCCTAAATTTGTCACACAAACTCTCTGTCGTGTTATTTAATTTGGTGTATATTCGATTAACTGTAGGGCAAAGCAATGGTGTATATACATTATCTGTCTCGTCAATTCAGTGACTCTTTTGTAGGCAATTAACATACAAAGAGGCCCAGCGCAAATGAAATTACATGGGGAATTGCGAAACGCGCGTCAAAAGCAATGACATTTGACCAAACTCATCATAAATAAGCCTCGCGTACTAACGGTTTGGAAAAAGAGTTTAAGTGCGTGTGAGTTGAGGAAGAAAAAAGTTGCCTAGAAGCCAAAAAGCTTCCAGAGAGTCGACATAGAGACTGGGGCGTTATTAATTTAATGAAGGAAAGCATAATGATTACAGCAAATATAAATGGTGCGTGTGTGAAACACTGTCAAAACAGTGCCACAACATTGTGGTGAATGCACTTGAAATTGCCAACGGTGAATGCGCCTGCGACGCGCGGCGGGGTCAATAAAATTTGGACAAAACGGTAGAAATCGAAATGGTTTTGCAAAGAGAGTAAAGTTTATACATATATTGGGATCAGTGTGAACGCTGAAGGCATCATACTTGCATGCATAATAAAACACTTAAATCTTAATTGTGCGGCTATAAAAGTTAGTCAAACAAGGAGTGTGTTGATTGCACTCTGATTTACAGATTTCACCAAAGGCAGGAAGTTGTTGTACGCATTCTCACCAGTAAAATGCAAGTACATGGCATGGAAATCAGTGTGTAATCTCTGTGAGAGGGAAGCCAAATTGGCTTTGATCTTCCAGTCTCAACACTCTACATTTCTCAACATTGCTCATGATAGTCATAGAATTTTTATGAGATTGCGGCCCGAAAAGGCGTCCAAATGAAGGCGAAAAAAAAGAGACGAAATATACACGCATAAGATGAGAGCGCACTCATTAATCAGCCGCCAAAATTCCATTTCAACGGTCGTAATTTTCTTGGGTGGAGAGCAATAAGAGAAATGTTAAGATGCGATGTATAAATAAACAGACAATAATTGAATTCCTTAATATCATGCATATCATCAAAGCATTAAGGTTGATGATGAAAATGAATAAATAATAATTCTCCGTTGGCCAGTATTAAAGTCAATTCACCAAATATTGCCGTTCCGTGATGCTTTTACATATTGCTATCAGTGTTGACCTATTGACATTTGCCATTAACCAATTAGTCACTTCATTCAAAAGAAAATGTGTTTATCAGTCTTCTGACTATATATAGGAGATCAACACTCACATGGCATCATTTTTATATACACGAAAGATTGCGCAGAAAAATATATTTCATGGAACAAGACATGTATTGATGGAATTACTAGGAAAATCAATCAGCTTAGATTAGAGTGTATCGCTGGGAATTCTATTATGTGCGCATATTCAATTTATCAGCCAAAATAGGAGCAAAGGAAGATCGCTATAAAATGTGTTTATCTTTGACAAGTCGCGGCGGGGGAAATGACATGAAATCTCTCTATAAAGTTTATTATTTGCGCTAAATAGTAAAAATAATTGGATGGTTGTAAGAGATTGTGTGTTTGGCTTCTGAGAATGTGACAGATAAAACATATATTTTTCCGTATTTTTGCACATCAAAAATATAACTTTAATGGAGTTGAATTCACCGGAAAGAGATAATAAACAGCAGCAGCAAGAGCACAAGTAAAAGTAAAAGATATTTGCCTGTTGTCTTTATTAAAAAAGATAATTTATAGGACAAATGTAATTAAAAGTTGTCACTCTATACGTTGGTTGGTGATACTTGAGAAAGACTTTCACGGCATTCCGCAGGAGAAAAGAGGCGGATTTTCTTGTTGATATTAACATCAAGTGTTAATTCTCCCTCAATTCCTTTCGGTTTCTTTGGCAAAAGACTTGAGGCTCTTGTTGAGATCTTTAAAAGTCTAGATGTTGCTCTTATGACAGTTAAATTGTCCTATTTTTTTTCTTTCCATTTGGATAAATCTTTCACGGATAGAATAAAGTGGAGAATATTTAAATTTATAATTCGCTCAACGAAGTAAAGAGAGAAGCTAAATTGCTGGAATGTTCCAGCCACTAAGTGGCTGAATAAACCTCCTATTCAAAAGAGATTTTTCTTTCGGACGGTCTTTCCCCATTTTTCTCCTCGTCCAATCAAGATTCCACATTGTTTTCAGTTGAATTGAAAAAGTGTATATGATTGTAATTACACTCGCCATGAATATATAAGACAAAATACTGCGAGTTGTATTTGAACTTGTGCTGTGTATGTAAATAGTGAAAGAAGTACTACTTATGCAGTGTGTGGCGTGTAAATAGTGAAAACTTATCATGGAAGCGGAACAATTGTGTGGGGAGAGAGAGAATTTTCTTAATGATGATCAAATTAGTAAGCGGATTTCATGAGGAGATACTTTTTTTCTCGTATGTCTCCCCATTGTTGATCATTAGTCTTCCTTGGGCTTGCTGTATGGGAGCATAATTCATGATATTTGCGCGAGCGCAAATGTAAATTTAATGAAAGGAAAAAGGTACAGACTCATGATGATCGAGAGTCACATGTAATATTTCGCTAATGACCGTCATTTCTTATATTATGCCTTATAGTTGTAAAATTTTAATGTTCAACATGATGGCAATTGAATGGATATGCAAGAAATTGAAATTACAGATAGCGCTAATTTATCAATTTTGAAATTGTCGCAGCGCACATGCTTGAGCGATGTGTGGTTTTAATGTTGAGAGACATTGTATGGATGCCCCGATGGTTAACTCGTTTTCCAGAGACATATGATCATTTCTAATGTGCTCATATAAGGAGTTTAACAATTTCTCATTTTATAATTATGGTTGGAAATGGATATTTGAGCATTTTCACTTTGACTCTGTGGCGATCGCGCGGAGTTGCACTGGAAAGAAACTGATGGTGTGTTTTATGTGCGTGTGCAATGCTTGTCGAGTAGAAGAAAATGATAATTATCGCCCCTTTTTTGTGCATTTCCTCTCGCGCTCACTCTAGTTTTTCATACCATCAAAACATGTGTGTTGCGATCGACACGGCGATCATGCACGTCGATGGGGGAGAAGAGCAGACAGAGGAGGACAGGAGAGGGTGTGAAATGTGAGCTCTGATGCTGAAATCGAAAATTGGTCTGTTTGCCATTACAGGAATTTTTCGAGGGGGTGCTGAAATCTTGGTGCGCTCGAAGCTCGCTCTTGCAGACGGTGTTAACATGCAATTAACGGTCAGATCAACCGATGCAGATGTTGCTGAATTGATTACCTCAGCTGTTGGTTGAAATTGAATGTTGTGTGTGTCTTTTCCTGTGTCGACAGCAACAAAATTGCTATTTATAAATAGCACACACACACACACAATAAAAATGCAGAGGGAGAGTGAGTATTTCAAATATTCTATATTATTATTATTATTATGTATTTTAAGGAAAAAAAAGTAATTTAATAGCGGATGAGATGTCCTGGGAATCGACGAGAGTAGTTTTGTAAATTTTCAGAAGAAAAAAGGAGGAAAAAAACCATGAAAGAGAAAAAGATACATTTAAAGATGTTACTCTGGAGAATATACCTTAAAATTTTAGATAATAAAAATGATTAATTACACCCTCCTATCTTTTACTACTCGCGCCGAGTTCAATCGTAGATCAAATAAAAATTTTTCGCGCTGAAGAAGAAAAAAGGCTCTTTTCAAATGACTTCAAGCACTCTATTCGGAAGGTGTATAGAGAGCGTCTCTTGCCATAAAAGTACAATCACATTTTGTTGGAGAGTCACGAGAGAAGGAGTGGAAAAAAGTTCGCGTCTTTTGATGGTCAAAGTGGTGGAGTGTGAAAAAAAAGTGTGCTGAAAAAGAGTTGCGCTTCGCAAAATCAGAAGAAAGAGCGACGTTCTTGCCTGGAAGAATGCCGAAGTCACAAAACTCCAATGGAAATCATCGCCAATTGAACTTACACTGGGAGAATCAATGAACAGCGTTTCTACCGTTCAATCGTGGCTAATTAAGCGCCGAGAGGGAAATTAATAGATGGTCGCGCATTGGTGACCATAATTTCCAAGTGTAGTGCTTTAATTAAGATTGTTAATGAAATAATTACATAATTTGAGCTTATTAAGCGACATTTGACACGCTCAGTCGAATGGAAAAATGTCGCGCGGTGCGATTTTCTTCCATTTATTCAAATGACAATATATTTAATAATATCACTTTGCAGTGCTTTTTCTGTGTTGTGTGGGTGTGTAAATTATATTAAAAAATTGTTTTACACATTCAATAATAAATGGAGTGACATTGACATGACGTTCTCTAATTAAACTACCCTAATCGTATTGTGTGTAATTGAAACTATTTCTAATTTTAAAGCTTCAGCCTGAAATATTCCAGCTGCTTGCCTTGAACGTTTGGCTTTTATACCTCTTGCATCAACAATGTGATCAATTTGAGCAATCTACTTCTGCATCCTCCTTGCATATATCGGCTTCATGATGAAATTTCCGAGCGGAGAACGCAATTAAAAGTGTCTAAAAGCTTGTGTTTATGCCATGTATTTGCTCGCCCATCCACTCTCTCTCTCTCTGTACACACGGAAAATTGCTACATTTTCATCAACAGCCATTGTCGATTTCGGATAAATATTTAACAGAGCCCAAAAAACTGTAAGAATTCTCTGGCAGAAGACAACTGTTAAGTTTTCAGTAGATCAAATATTGAACATACTTCCATCAAACACCGAATTTGAATTTATGCTCCTCAACTTGACAAATTGTTATTATCTGTCCGCCTCAATCGCGCGTTGTCTTGTCAAGTTAAATTCGCTCACGCGAGAGAGAGAGAACTTTGCTCGCCATGGGAGAAAATGTCAAATGTTTAGCCGATGACTTTCGAATTTGTATCGTTTCAGCAACAAAACGCATAATTGAATTGTTGTCTTGACGTGAGAAATGTGCTCACATATGGTGTTTGTCGGGAAATTGAAACTTCTTGTGCGACTGAAAGTCGCTCATGGGGCTATTTTGGATGTGATGTTTACGCCTCGAGTGATCAAAATAGGGAAATTGAAACTATCATTGCTCGTCGAGATGAGAAACAAAGCCCTCGCTGAACAACATGTGTCCGAATGCAAACAATGCTGATCTTTGTTTGAGTCCAAATGCTGGACTTGCCATCAATTGCGGCTCTCGCCGAAAGGTAAGACGCTTCCGTGGAAATAAAGTGAGTCTCTCTGAATTGGCTATTAATTGTTGTGTGGAAAAACACACAGCTGCTCGCAATGTTTAGTCATCACATTCGAAGGCGCATTGCTTAGTCCATCATTACTCCGTAGTTCCTGAACAATTTTTCTTCTTCTTTTGGACTGTAGAGCGAAAAAAACAATTGACAATGGGTTTTGGAAAGGGAAAACCTCCACGTCGAAGGCGTTGGTAAGCAGCACTGCAACTGCGGTGAACTCGAACTCAAGAGGAAGATAATAAGCCTTAAATCTGTACACGACAGAAATTTGAAATTTTTAGACATTTTGCTCATTAATTCTCAAGTTATAATAAATCTCTTAATTTTCCATCTGATATTTCTGCAAAAATATCACTAAGAGACCTTTGAAGACTCCGTTTGAAAGCTTCCTAGATTACAAAATCATCTATTATGATTTGAAATTAATGTTTTTGAGGTTAAGTTTGACTCAAGCAGAATTTTCAGCGTTTCTTCATTCGCGATTCTTTCAGCGTTCTTAATTCTGCCAATGACTAGCGATATCTCAGAATTGAGCATAAGAATTGACGTGCTAGAATATGAATAATGCACTAAATCTATTTTTGATTCGTTACATAACTTAGAAAAGAATGATTTCTATTGTTTCTACGTAAGAATCAAAAGAAATCCAACGAAATTGTGATAATTTGTCGATTGTTTGGTCTTTGAACACTTCCTAATCACTTCCGTTGCGCTGTACACCACTTGAGACCATATGATCTTCCCCTTGCTCGAACTCATTCACGAGCTGAACGGCGGAGCCATTAGCAATTTCTCAAGTTCAAGTGTAGGGACGAGAGGCGTTCGCCTAATCGAATATGAAATAAGTTGGGATGGCGCAGCGGCGTAAGTCGACCGGGCGCAAATCTTAAATTATAGATCTCGATTAATCACATTATACCTCCCGATGCCACTTGTGACCTATGCATGGCCAGTGGCTGTGGTGGCAGCGAGATGAGAGACACTGGGAGCATCGCATCTGCTCAGCCATAATCCGCGATGTTGTGATGAGTGTTTATAATAACTGGCGTTCCCCGGAGCGAGAGAATTGCTGGCGATATTGACAGGTTTAACAATTAATTCCGAAACACCCCACCAATGTATAATTAATCACGTGAATAAATTGGACGTGCAGACTGTTATTTAATAACTTAATACAGTTAAACACTTTTACTCTGCACTAAGCATTGCACCTACACGCTCGGATTGAATTCAACCTCAAGAGACATTTGATATTATCGGGGCGAGCTCTTTGCCTCCTGCCTTGTCACTTCAATGCACAGTAGACGCGCCACGGAGTTCTGGCAAAATGCTCGATCACGGTGAGCCTCTAATGGAGACACAGGTTTAATTTAAGGAAAATTAATTGTGACAGTGAACAATGCCACTTTATTCTTCTCCGCTCGCTCGGGCACGCATTTCAGGGAACAACACAAAGAGTCTGGGCTGGCTCACAAAGTCGCACCAGTAGTTCTGCAACTGTGAGAGCTTTAAAGAGTTCATTTCCACCAGCGCCCATAGCGGCTTAATCTTCAGCAATGAGCACACCATCAAACTTCCTCTCTAAATGATGCATTATACGTCTTATTTGTAATTTTATTCTTGTCGATTTCGCTAACCGTTACACAAAGACTCATAAAAGCGCCATGAAGAAATTCTAATTAGAAACTCCCAACGATTTGCGCATTTCCCAAAACTCACATTGCAATGTGCAAACGTAAAATTTAACACTCTATCGCCTTTCACTAATTTTGAGGCAAATATATCCACGGAGTTAATTGAGACACTTCTTGCACGTCGAATGCGCTAATTAGTGTTTCGGTGCAGCGGCTGAACATTTCGGTGAACACATTCTATTGCCGCGACTTTAAGCATTCTTGCATTTCTCACTCTCCGTCACTTTAAATCATATACACAAAATACTCTGCGGCAGAGAGACTTTTTACGCAGATCACAATCTGCGTTTTGCATTTGGGGCCATTATAATCTCTTGCGAGAGGTTGTTTGCGTAACAAAGGTATTTTTCGGCATCAGACCCTTTCGGATGCGACACAGATAAAGTAGATGGCTAAGCATGTTTTTGCCAATGCTCTCTCCTCCTTTTGTAGGCCTCTGAATTGTATATTGAGATGAGAGGAATTCATATTTCGCCCCGTGCAGAACATTTTTCCCTCTCATATCAATTGAGCCACTCTGGCGTGCTCAACGAAGGAATTCCACTGGGGGATTTTTGAGAGGTTTCTCTTGCTGTCCCTCATAAAAATGTCGAGAGTACTTTTCCTTCTTCTCTTCTCGTTGCTGTGATGAACACATTAATAATAAAGCTGGTCAATTTTTCAATTATGCAATATAGTGTGTATCAAAAGACGTCCAATACATCGTTCAATACGTGATTTCGCTCTGCCTTTGTGTCTCAATTGGATAATTTGCTTATCCGTGTGCTCTTTCCCGCGTCCCGCGTGATTTGCCCATTGCGCGAGTGAGTCGCGGTGTCTGCCAGGGAGTGACAAGATGAAATAAATAAGTGTTTTATTCACTAATGAGCCTTCTATCAATGGCTAATCTCTGCTCACACTGTGACAAAGTGTTGTTGGGCGCACTAAGGGGAAAGCACATTGGCACTCTTTTCTTTGTCTTGTCTCGTGGGCAAACACAATCGTGCGGCCAAGAAGCCAATTGGCCGTGCTCGAGTGTATTCCTGGGGAACTTATGGGCAAAACTCTGTTGGCAGATGTGAAATGAGATACATTTTGCTGTCGCCATATCGCCTGTGTCAATGTTGTGATTGATATGCGAAAGAGAAATGGTTGAAGCAGAAACTCTAGCCAAGAGGTATGTGGTCTCTTCTTGCATCTCTCGCGCAACAACAATAATAAATCGGAAATGACCATTGCCAATGGGTCTCTCTGACTGGGAGTGAAAACAAATACCTCTCTGCGCCGGCTGATGTACAGATTGTGAGATGGTGATACCATCTGAGAGATGGGGCAGAAGCCAGGGAGGCGACCCAAGAGTAGTAATGGAGTGTTAAAAGAAAACATTTCCAATGTAATTTTTTTCCAATGCGCCTCTCCGCCTCTCCGCCAGGTATGTGACATGAATTCCTAACCAACAACCACATTTGTGTGCACCAACAGCTCCGATGCACCAATTTTCTCTTCACGAGAGATCCAAAGCACACACGAAAAAAACTATTTTCTTGCGAGCCATGGCTTAAATTTCTAATGTGTATTGATGGCATTCAAGTAAACTGCTGCGTCTACTTTACATTCTGAAGTCGTCTAGAACTGCAGGCAATGCCGCTCAGCCACCAAAGTGTACACCACACTTTGCACTAAGCGCTATCTCATCGATTTTTCTGTGCTTGTAACACAACATAAAAGACATGATAGACAACATAAATAGCTTGATCAGTTCATTCCAACACACACCTGCCATGAGAAATATTTTGATGTCTTTTCCCCCAAATGACCTTTTTATCCGTCCATTTCCTGAGACTTCTTTTATGCTCTGCCTCCGAGAAGTCGAAGAAAAGACACCTATTCTGAGGGAGATCAAGGTGTTTGCGACTTTCACTCCGGCAACCTGTCGCAATGTCGTTCAGCCTTGATGAATTGGGTGTCAGATGAGAGGGCTTGACATCCCTTAAGCCCATTCTTCTGATCCCAGCAGGTGGTTTGCCACACAAACTCAAGAATTTCTAGACTCTTGCATAATGCGTACACCGCGTGTCTGTGGCAAAGATCACCGCCGCCTTGCCTTTGTAAGAATACTGAATCAAGACGCACGATGGAGGCTTCGAAACCAGCATAAAGCGAAAAAAAAGACATAATGAATTTAACTGATTTCCTGTATTTGAGCCACATCTAAAGGGCCTGAGATATTTCTCTTTCACTCTCGTGACGTGATTCATGTTTGTATATTTGTCTGATGGGCGATTTTTCAGGGGAACACACTGAAAAATGTCGATGAAATATGAATCAGAGTCAATATCAGTGGTATTTCTCCCTCAGCACGCGGACGTGATGAGAGGTCCTATTAATATTCTCAATGGTACATTCACGAGTGCCTCAATGGACGGATAAAACAATCGGGTTTGTTTTTTCTGTGGCTGAAATCTCTTACTGCATTACCAGTGAAATGCGGGTCGGAGGTAGAGAATGAAATTAATTATATCACTTAATTTCCAATCAAAGCCATATTCTTTTATTCATCTTTTGCCTCAATAGCGCTATAAATCGTGCCTGAGTTTGATGCTTAGGGAAGTAAAAAACGTGGTAAACAAAGTATAAAGCGTGATTTATACAATGAAAGGAATAGAGGTCCATTGCTTTTGGTCTGGAGATAGAGAGCGCGCGAAGAAGCCCTCAAAAATCTCCCACACAAGCCATAATCACACCATTAATAATAATTTCTCATGTGAAATGTTTACAAAATGTGTCAGAGAAGAAACAGACGCTTTTTTGAGCATTTCGTTTCTTCACCACGATTGTCGCCAAAGTCAAGGAAAAGAAGTTGGATCGCTTTGACTGGCCCTCGAAGGCAACACCAACAAAGTCCCTCCTTTCATTTCACCATCTAGAAAATTGTATAAGAATCCAAATAATTGTGCACAACAGTTAGTTGGGGGGGCTTTTTATGTAATATTTCAGACTTATTGGATTTGGTGCTTCAGCAATGAGTTCTCAAGTGAATATTTTCTGAGATTGCGTTGACGCCCTTCGCGCGCGCGCGATGAGGTCTGATGGTACTTATCTTAGGAGAACGCTAAGCAGTCCAATGAAAGTTCCACACCCTTTCGCCTTCAATTTCATCACCAACACAATTCCCATAATCCTCTTATGCTGTGGAAATTGTGTGAAAAGACTTGTCTTGATTGTAAAACTGTGGAGTGGCAGAAGTTTGTCCGCGGTGGCAGAGAGTCTTTCGGTCATTATTGTGTTGTAGCGAATGAAATTAGTGATTTCTCTCTCTCTCGGACGATGTATCACGGGCTCTATTAACTAAACAATGGAGAGGCATTTATTTAAAATGCCATCACTGCAAAACTCTGCCCTTATCTTATCTTGGCGCGCAAAGTACTGCCGCTCCGTTGATTTATTCTCACAGACAAGACAATAAATCCGCAGTAACACCCATAGAGACCATAACAAAAACCCCCCCTTGAATTTCCATTTCATTTTACAAATTCTAGGTGTTTTTCATTGTCATCCGCGCTATTATTTCGTAATTCACACTGTACGCAATTTGATATCAATTTTTTCGGATGATATTTCAGAAAAATGTTAGGTAAATTATTTTCTCCCGCTGGATAATTTATGCTGGTCGCGGACCTCGCAGGGCAGATGGGAAGGTGTTTAACGATGTGAAACCACATGGAAAAGGTATATTATTGTTTTGAAAACAACATTGTTGAAAGCTGTCTAAATAGCGCCTGAGTTGGAGTGAAAAAAAAGACGAAAAACTCATCATTTTTATTACAATCGAATGCAAAGGACCGGGGGAGAGATCATAAAAGTAATAAAACCAACACAAAACTGTGGAAATGAAAGTGCTGGTATTATTTGCTCTGTGATAAAAAAAAATCATCCAGTGCGTTGCTGATTTTACTTTTCACCGGCATTAGATGGTTTTTTTACTATTTGCCCAGTCGGTTGCCTTCCCTGAAGTCCCATCAGCGTTTACCTTAATATTTGACGGATTACTTATAGGGCGTTTACCGGGAAGCTCACTGGTTTTTTTCCCTCTCTCTCTTGGGCATCCATGAAAATTGACTCCAGGAGCGGAAGACCAGGTGAAGGAGGATTTGCTGCTGCGGAGCGTTTAATGTTTGCGGTTGGTATCAAATTCAGTTTAAGGGGTTTTATCGCCTCGCCTTTTCTCAACTCCCATTCATAAAAATTGTGTCAGTCATTGAAGTTGCGATTGCATCATTGGAGAGCAGTGCAAAAAGTTATTATTTATTCCTTTTTGATGAATATATAAATCAAAATTGACAGAAGAGAAATTTTTCTCACGTCATGGGCGCGATTATGCAAGCGGATCAGATTGATATTTTGATTAATTAATCCCAGACTAGATCTTGTGCACATTGTAGCGAGTGCGAAACTGCAAAAATGTGCCCACATTTAATGATGATCTCCGGCCATAAGCGTATGTGGAAAAGATGTGCGCAAAGGCAAGATTTGCGTTCTTATCTTAATAGAATAACTTGAATATTTTGTATGTGGTAATTATCAGCGGCTTCTTGCCAACGCCTGATAATGTAATGGGAAAATCAAGTCATCTAAAATTATCATCGAATGCAGGCAAATTAATTGGTCTTCTCTTCTCTCTCTCATCTCGCGGATGCACTCGACGTTGTACCATAATCTTCGGTATTAATGTACCTGAGAGCGAAGACATCCGTTTTACTTGCGGGGCTGCTCTGATTCACAACTTGTACTACAACTTCTACACTATTACCATTCAATTTCCCAATATTTGACGACGAGCCAGAGCCCCAATGGAGCTCTTGTATGCTGAGCTGTGTGGTGCTCCATAATCGCGCCTTGCCTCAGCGTACGCGCGATATTAATTAAGGTGGAATATGCAGGAGGATATGGTTCTGAAAAGCCATTAATCACCATCACTCATGAAAAATCGTGGCGAAGAAAATGAATGTTGCCATAGTGACACTCTATTCACTCTGCTGTTCCATTTAGTTGAGCTAATATCGGCGAAAAAGTGGGACAGAAACTTGATCTTGATCGTTAAGTGCGAGTTTTAGTCTGAAAATGAAAACACTCACGCGACGTTCTGTGCTTGTGCTGGAAGAAAATTTCACATGGTGCTTTTTCTCCTATCAAGGATGGAGAGCGCAGTTCAAGTTTTATTGTTATTTTCCACTCTGCATTTTGCAATTTGAACACAGTTTCCAAATATGGGTGATTTCGAAAAGGCTCTTTTTTCTGCACATTAGCAACAACACATTTGAGTCAAAGTGGGGGCTTTTTGGCACACTATAATGAAATCCCTGATGATGGATTTTTGTGTGGCTAATTTCCCACCCACGTTCAAACTTTTGATAATCATATTTTGGACTTTTGGAAAAAAAGAGCAGCAATTAATCATAAAAGGTGAACCTTTATCTCTCTCTCTTGAGAGAAGTCCCTGAGATTGTTTCCAACAGATACAGGCCAACATGAGCATAGTTTTATCATGTTAAAAAATAAACAATAAATGGTAATCTCCTGCACACAAACGCCATTCATCTATTTGTATTGTTTGCGCAGGAACAATAAATTTAATAGGCATTATTTGAGAAGAGAGAGATGTATTTCTTAGGGTTCTTTTTGCCCGATCTGTGCGCACCTCTCGTGTCCCCTGCGCAAAACCCTCTTGCCCAACAACTCCGTGTGCGGAGTGTTGTGTTTTTGTTTAGGAGTTGCGACCAGCAAGAAAAATGACTAATGGGATGCGGAATGATGGGACTCGCTGACGTCAGCCGGTGTGTTTGCCCCCAAGGAGAAGATGTATTTGCAATTTGTCCCCTCTCTGGGCCGCTCAATAGAGTCGTACGGTGTGTGTAAGTCAATTTGAGTTACATGCAGATCACAAATTAGCGATTTTATCCAACAATATATTCCATGCCACGGCGCGCCGCCGAGGGGGGAATAATAGAGGCGCGATGGAGTATTTAGCCAGTGTCCCACGGGCGGCTGGCAGTGTGAGTGGATCACACAAAGAAGCGGCTCACAGCTGAGCCACGACGCCACTGCCATATCGCGGCTGTGTGGCACTTGTATACACGGCCCCGTACACAGTCTCTCGTGGGTTCATTCGCTAGCCTATGCTCGGGGACAGTCAGTGTCTCATCGGCAGTCGGGGTGCGAACATATGGTGTGCGCGCGTTGCTCACAAATCTTCATCCGTACTTGCACAATTGGGAATCGTGGAAAGCACTGCGATCGCATCTTCTTGTGCCCTCTTCGATGCGTCATCGAACTCTGTGGCGACAAACACGCCTGTCGCAAGCAAATAATTCGCTAATTGCCTAACAAAGTGTCCCGCAATCGCGCGCGATCGTTTGAAAAAGCCCCACATGAAAACTGTGTGTGCGCGCTCTCAGTGATCATAGGGGCTCCGCCGCGATCCCCGAGGAATTTCCACCACTGATCCTCGGCTGTGATCAGAGTTCATCGCTGTGGCGTGTTACTTATCGTAAAATGTGTCAACAGATGTGTGCGCTGATCAAGTGTTGGGCATAGTTGTGTTGCAAGAGCCACTGCCTACGAGCGGTCCAGCATATGCTGCATGACAATTATTACATAAAATTTATGAATGGAGGCATTTGATAATTTCAAGAGTAAATAGGGATCGTCATGATCAGTGAGTTGGTGCGCAGTGGAAAGAGTTAATATAGAATTTAATTGGTGACATTCCAATGCTTCATTTTGATAATTTATACACACTCGAAAAATACGTGCTCTGTGGCAATAGGCAGATTGAGAGTCGCGCCGAGATTGTGGCCAACACTTGAGGATATACAGTGGAAAATTGTTGCTGAAATATGCCAGATACTTAGCATGGATATATCAGTGGAATAAAAGAAATTATCTGCAAGGTAAGTGGTCATGTTTTGCGCAAGCTTCGATTCTTGTTTACGTTCTCCTGTGATGAATTGTGTGCCTTCAATTGAACACGAATGACAAAATATGACTGCGCGGGTTCATATCATAAACAAATAGCGTTGTTGGGAAGGATTTCATATATTCACATTGGTTTCACGATTCACCTTCTCGAATTGCGATAAATATGTGGATATATTGTGAAGGATTTCATAAACCATTTTTACACCTAATCTCTCAAGCATGTACTACATGTTTTCCGTCGATTACACTCCATAGTAAAGTCATTGATAAGAAGTGATTTATATTTGCCGATATAAGACTAAAGACATGGGAAATTGGAGTGAAAAATACGATTATCAACTCTTCGATTAGCTGAAAATTCATTTATTCAAAACAATAACCTTGAACTCATGATGTTTTTTTCAAGCTCATTGACTAAAAATTCATTAAAGATCACTCTTCACACTTTGCGTTGTGGTTTGGAGTTCCACGAAAGACAAATTTTTCCAGTGAATTGCGCTATTTGAAAGGAAATTCCTACATAAAACAGTCATTGCCATGATAGAATTGCTTTGGCTTTTTGTGCCAACTACACAACAAGCGATGCGATGAGATAACACACCTTCTTATGCCTGGAAAATTTGTTCAATATTCCAATATCCGAGATCCTAATTGAAATACTGCATTGAAATAAGATTTACGTGACATTTATTAATAAATACAAACCCCGTGTGTTTATTGATAGTAAAGCCATTCAGATAAAATGTACTAAAAGTTTCGCTTAAGGTTATTTATGTACACAAATGTTGACAGAAATTCACACTTTTCGCACGATTTATGTATAAACACTACCGTCAGCATCATGTTTTATGATCTCCACAAGATAACGACTGGTAACAATCGTCTCCACCGTGCTAAGGACCCTTATTTGTGGGCTCTCATCGCGCAATATGAGCAAGCTTGTGTATTGAACGCATCTTCGAATAATTACCTGGTGGTATTGGTTGTAATTGTTTGGATAAGAGACTCTCGCGCGGTGTTATTGAATGCCTCTGAGTCCGACCACTTGCCAAGTATTTTGTGTCGCTGTATCAGATGCTGATCTTGTGATTACCTTCTCGTGGCGATACATAAAGAAACATGTGATTTTCTCAATTTTACCTTGAAAGAAGGCGACTGAATCGAGCATTTATTGGAAACACGTAAAAAAAAGAGCTGCAAATATATTCAAGCGTGCTAAAAACACTGATGTCATCACTGAAAAATCATTAATACTTATGTATTTACACATATGTTTCTATGTGTAGATCGAACAGAGTGCTGAATATTTTCTGTCCCGCATTGATCACTACTTCCACAAGAGACAACCGCGTGTCTTCTGCTGGCGATCTGTCGAATATTGTGAGCCAAGCTGTGGCATATAAAATTCATGTGTATATGCAAATATTCCTAATTGCTATATAAGTACAATATTACGTCGTTTCAGCGGATTTTCGGTGCTCTTTCCGTTCGTACCCACTTGAGATTGCTTTGGGAAGAATTTCGTGAAAAATTTCAACTCTTTTTATTGCTGCCTCTCTTCGCGCGCATTTTTTTTTTTATTACATCTCCCCAAAATATTCACTCTCTTTAATCTGACGATTGCAGTCGGTGCTGATCATGAGGGAGAAACTCTGTAATTATTATGCGCTGTTTGCTTTCAAAAATTCACATCACACTGCGCGGTAAAAAGGTGATATATCGCATAACGATCTTGGCAGATTGAATATCCCAGGAATTAATTTTTCCAATTAACAAAATCATCATTTAATTTGGCGGCTTCCCCGAATAGACCTCGCATGGGGGCACAAAAACTATCACGGCTGATCATAAATCTGAAATGCAATCAAGTCCACTGACAGGCTCATCTGACACGCACGGAAGAGACGCGTTGATTCTGAATGCGGAATAAAAGTAAGAGTAATACAACAATCGATGCGGTGGTCTTTGGTCAAAATCGAAATAGTATCGTTGATTTTTTCCACATAAACTTTAATGTTTTGCCCTTTTGTTGCGCTCTCGATCGAGCGGTTTCGCTCTCTTTTATGTGCTCAACAACAAATATTCATAATTGCGCCTACTCTCGCGTTCTTTTTCTTCAGACATGTAATTTTTATGTTTGAATGGTCACAGCACGGCGAAGAGAGCCCTGTGTACGATCTGGTGTACAGCATGTGCTCATGAATGTCGAGTGCCTTACAGAATTTCATTGTGTCGTAAAGCAGAATAAAAGATCTGTGACAAGTCCAATCATAATTTTATGTCGAGAGATGATCTCAGCATGGAGTGTGTTATTGAAACGCAAAAGAATGCGTATGAAAAATGCAAAATACCATCGCAATTCCATGTAACGTCGCGATGTCAATGCTGTGCGCGGTGTTTCGATAAAAGCCACCAAATGAAAGCTCAGTCGTGGAGTGTAACAAAGAAGTAGGGAATGGAAGTGCTTCACTTAGTCGTGGAAGAAACAACTTTTGTGTTCTTTTACGCAAATTAATTCATAGGAAGACAGAATGATTCATAATTCATGATTCACAGTGAATAATTTAATAAATCAGACACATATTCGAAGCTCTTTTTATTGGGTGTCTAGAAAGTCAAGAATGACAAGAGATCCAATTTCAGATTTCTCCTATAGTAAAACTGCCTAAATTTTCATAATTGAGTATCAACAAGCAATATCAAAGGTCAGTCAACTGACAAAATATATGTAGTGAATTTTAATTCATTTGATTTTCACTCGTACGAAACATCCAGACATGAACATTGTTTAATAATTGTTTTGTTAGGAAACCCACAACTTTGAATGGTAGGAATTTAATAACGACACAAATTAGGCACCTTTCCCTGTATCTCAACATAAAGATCAGTATCTGGAAATTAGCATTGGGAAATAAATTTGGAAACACCAAAATAGACAATTTATATATATTTTTTCTCTACTAATCATTATGTTTTCCTCTTCCCTAAATGGTCAATTGGACTGTTACAAAATCAATTATATGGTCCGATAGTGATCAGCAGTTAATAAGCCAATTATTAATGTTCCAACGGCGTTGAGATGGCCTTTCATTTATATTCAGATAAACATGCAGACGGGTTTCATTTTTATCAAAATTCCATCATATTTTCTTAATAATCATTAAATTGTTTCGTTTATTTATAACTGTATAAATTTGAACATGGAAATTCAGCTGAAAATTTCAAACAACAATGAGCAACCAAAACAAGAGATTCCAACAGTTGCGCGCGATGATTCGACTTTGAAATCATCTAATATTTCAAAGAATTTGCTTACGTCCGCGCAGTGAAATACTGGGCATTCTGAGAATTGTCTGGGGTGGCGACTTATATTCCCAATTTCACTTCATTCCTCTGCAGACGGATCAAATTTTGTGATAATTTATGTGGAGTGGAGGCATTTATCACGCCGACCAAATGAGGCGCGCGAGCAATATTTGATGGTTCTTTCAGCGAAAATGTTTGCGCCATTCGAGAGGGAGTTTCTCCTCTTCCTTTTCATGCAAGTCAATTTATCACCCTGCACAAAAAGGAACAACACCTCAACTGTCTTGGCAGCGAATTTGAATATGTATCTAAAAGTGCAGCAAATTGGTCGGTGAATCAATATCACAAATTGTATATCTGAGATCAAGAGGTCTGCATAATGAAAACACGGCCCTTATCTTTCGGCATTTCACTGGCAATTTCAAGTTTATTTCATATTCCCATGACCGTCTCGCTGTATTTTTGTGAATAGAATAAATTTAAATATATTAATGAAGTTGTATTGGATGCAGAGAGTCTGGGGTATGAAAAGGCATCGGTGGGCGAATCACAGACATCACAGGAGATTTCTTATCTTCTCTCCCTCTTTATTTACTCTCTTTTTGTATCACTTTATTTCTTATTCATACACGCTGTCAAGGATGTCACGAGCGTCAGCCTTAATTGTCGATTGGGTATTGTGTGTCTCTGCATCTATTGAAATTACAGATTCCATTGGAAAAAATTATTCGACACACCTTCCCCAGACTGGGCCGGAATAGCGATACGAGCTGTTCAAATGCGCAAAAGAAGTTGATTTTAACATGAACATGTGAAAATATCCACCGAACACATCGTGTGTTATTTATTTAGAAAAATTATATTAGTCTGTTGACAAATTCGCATAACTCGCTAGAGAAAATATTGTCCAAAAAAGACACGCGTTGTGTGAGAAAACAAGAAGCTGAAGAGAAGTGAGAGGAATTTGTAAATTTGCAAATTCACTGCAATGAACCAACTTTTCGAGTCACTCAACAGCGGGGGAAAAAAAGGCATGAAAAGACGTTGAAGCCCAAAAACTGATTAACCTTCGCTGATCTTTTGGTCACATCGATCTAGATAAATGACTATTGGCACATTAAAGTATGTCTTCACGCGTAATGGGAAATTAGGCCGGAAAGGCTTACGAATGTCAATTAATGGACTATTAATTGCTGTGTGTCGGTAAGAAGCATGAAAATCTCATTACTGAGCATAAACTATTGTCTCAGCGCCGCTCGTACAATATAATTTTAATGAAATTCTTTCGATCGGTTGCCGTTCTTATAACTATTCCGTCCATATAGTCTCGAAGAATGTCAGTAAAGTGGTCACACCTGTTTACCTTTAACTGTCCATACAGTCTCGTGAATATCTAACAATCCTATATCTATATTCTCTGTAGATAGACATAAACACATTTTTCCTCCTGTTTATATACCTGCATTTCGATCTATAGATGTTCAACATCTTTCACAAATATCAAAGGTGTATTATTTACTCTCTGAGATATTAATTTGTCGTCTCTGCGGAGTTTTGAAGACTCTTTCTATGCACTCTATTGAACACCGCATTGACAGATCTCATGTTGCACACAGCGCTCAAATTGCCTTCCAAAAATAGCAAAAGACTTTTTATTATGCTGTTCGATAAGTTATCAGACATGGCGCTAGATAAGCGGTACAGTTTTTTTTTTCTTCTTTAAACCCTTACTTGTCGATTCTTTTGCAAAAGACTGCTCTCGACCTCGTCAGAATGTCTCCGCCAGAAGAGTTATACCCTTATTAATCTTCTTGGCAGAGAATAAATGTCAAGGAATCACTTTCCTGACTGTATCAGTCTTCAAAATTACCCTACAGATTGATTTATGGGAAATAAAATCACGCTTTTGGGTTTGAACATCGACCAGAACAAGGTGGGCAAACTGAAGAATAAGAGTTCGCGGTCCCCATTTGGCAAGTTGTGTGCACACAAGCGACTTTGTCTTAATGACTCCGCTTCTCGGCGTTTTATCTGGAATAAAGTGATTGATATTTGGATTGCATGAGATACAGAGATTACTCATTGCACTGCTCTTTGTATCAAGTTGGTCCATTAAGTGACAGCATCATTCTCCAGAACAGTCTGGAAAATGCATCTCAATGGAAAAACGTCGTGTCGCTGCAACACGTTGCCAAGCTGAGGAGTTTAAGTATTTGCGTATTGATTGGAATACTAATTTTCTCATAAGCAATTTACACACACACACACACACATACAGTGAGTATCGTGATTATAGAGACAATGCGAGTGGATCTCTTACCATCGAGATGCTATACTTGAGACATAAAGATAGGTTTTGTGTACACGATAAAGTCCAAGAGTGAAGGGGCGTTTATCATTCTATTTTATCTCTTGATGTATGTTTGTGTGGTTTTCTCGGTACATCCTCAAAACGAAAACAAACGCCGGAAATGCATCAAGATGATGTCAGACTTTTACGGTGTGTGGAATCACTTGGTTTTATTTTTCCATATTCCGCTTGGTGGAATGATGTTTGTATATGCTGCGCTATGTGCTATGATAAATGGGACAATGTGGGAGATTAGAGACGGAAAAATATGTCACATGAGATTGTGGAATTTGGAGTATTTAGGTAAATTGTTAATTGCTGACTATTCACTTGAAGCGTGAGAATTGCTCGAAAGAGTTGAAGATAATTGCGAGGTATTTCATTTCAATGCGTCAGACATTCGCATCGGCAAAGCATTGGCACATATAATTCTGATTTAATGCTGCGGAGAAAAATTATATTGATTACACAGCACTCCTGGGCTTTAGTCATTTCTGCCATGAGACACACTTGTCACTCAAGAGGGAGAGATTTCTTGAGAAAATTCCTCAAGGTTTTTGGGGCGAAAATTCAATTGTCTCTTCCTGTTGTTACTTTCAGAAGCACCGTCAATGGAGTGGCGATGTCAGGAGCAAGCGACGTAGCGACAATGGAGACTCCTCGTCCTGAACAAGTCGAGGAATCCAAGATGACAAGTGTTTCGCTGCGGAAGTCAGACGCTGACACATCCTACGGCCGACACTTTCTGCTCGAGAACGACTTCATGTACATCGATGACGACGCAGATGAGGTGGACTCTGGCTATGGGACCAACAAGGTTCTCTTCGACACGGAGCAGAGTACCATCGCGCTCAGCGACCAGAGGAATTCCACCAATTCCAGCAATTTGTCTCCACAGAATCGCCATGCGAAGGCCCAGGAGAAAGAAGACGCCGAAGAGGAACGAACTAAAGGTAAAGGGGCAATTAGAAGCCAATAGAGCATTCCTACGCAAGAGGCCAGAATCAATCATGACTGTTGAAAACCATGGCGTGTGTTTTACCTATTAAGTCTAATTTAGGGTTTGACGATCACAGGTATTTGCTTCCCTTCATCCTTGTGATGTCGCTGTTTAAGATTGGGTGTGAAACAAAATGTTACAAACTTGCAAAGACTCAAGTGCTGTCTTTAAATTGTACTTTCAATGAATTATCCCAAAAGTGGAAAATGATGAAACTACAGCGTATAACACTAAAACTTAATTAATTGCTTGACGAATGCTTTGAGTTATTCCAACATTTTATTAACTGTATGCAACGAAGATGCACATTTGTAGTCGTTTGCTCGTCGAAAATTACCATGACAATCATGGGAAACACGCCAACAAAGCGATTCACCACTAATTGTTATGCACTTCCTCGTTTTCCATGTGAACTAGCATGAAAAAGTGATTTTTCTGATTTATTGCCAGTGTGTTTGTGTTGAAATGAAAATAAAGCTCTGCACTCGGTGCATTTAAATGCACTTCTGCAATGGGATTTAATGGTAATTTCTCCTCTATTGCCAGAACATCACAGTGATAGGAGACTCGATGGGGACGACGAACAACGATCTGCCAAAATTGTGGACATTCCGTTAAATTGTGATAGAAAGAAGGGAAGGACATTGGTGAAAATGGAGGACATTGTGGCTGTTGATGAGGATCCATATGCTGAGCTTGAGATGTATTTGGAACGTGTAAAAGTGAGTAATTGGCAAATTTGCTTTATGTCGGGTAGTTTGGACGGATATTAGCACGCGATGGTGTTTGATATATGACCCAGTTTGTGGGGAGAGATGTTAACTGAATGGTTTTTCGTTCTTATGAGGAGCAAATATTTGTTTTTCTAATGATCTTCTGGTGCGCAATATCGCGTTAATAGATCACTCATGGATTTTTATCGATTTCATGTGATTTTTTTTTCTTGGGTTGAGAGTGAAGAAATTTTCTATTTTTTCCCACTTTCTCGCATTGCCAAAGCCACATCGTAAAAAATTTCCAAAGTGGGAAAAACTCATGGAGGTGCCATAAAGTTTTTGATTGAATATTCCAGCGATGTGTACAATATAATATACTGTTAAAATGTTATCAGATGTAGGAGGCAAGAGTCGCTAGTGGTAATTTACATACTTAGGCGTGAGAGACAGGGAGGGAAAGAGAGAGAGACAGAGATTTGAGATAATAAAAGACAGCTGCAAGGAGAGACGAGTTCGTAAAATATAAATCAGCGAATGACTAAAGATCTCCTATAAGTAGTCATAACATAAAGTAATTGAAATGCTCCTTCTCTCCGGGGCATGTCGTACACATGATAAATTTCTTGATAAAGTGAACATAACAATTTCATCATCATTTCACTTACTAAATTGAGCCCATTCTTGTGATCTTCATACGCTGATTGCTATTGTGGGGATCACGTTAGGTGTATATATACGCTTGTGTGTTGTATACACGTTGGGGAGCTTGACGTCAGACTATTTCAAGTTTGGCGTGGATTTATGACTCGCTCATTTCGTTTATTATGCATGCTCAATATTGATATGTTTATGTTCAATCATCAAAAGAACTACACGTGAGAAGTCGATTCTGATCGATGGGGCTACACAGCAGCCTCAGCCATCATCTCGCGAGGAGAGGCCCAGGCAGCGATCAGTCTCCGCGCTGCCTCCCATAATGTGTTGAATCATCGAGCAATATGCCCATGATGACTCTCTGCCAACATCTTTCATTGGGTTATATGCGCGCTGTGTCTGGAATTTTTTCCTCTCCACCATATTCTCGTACAGCGCTGAATAAATGAAGGGAGTGGTAGTTAAATGCTCACTTCGCGATACTATCACATCATAACTTGATTTTTGCAAACAACCAACGAGACACACAAATGGCTCAAATGACTCAATTTGCAAAAGGCAAGCCAGCAAATTGCGTACTTTGCACATTATATATTTTTCAATTACTGCACTTTATGATGCATTGAATCTCATTCATGAGGAAATAACAAGAGAGGTCTGCTTTTTTTTGGTGCATCGCGGCCGACACTCTGTGAGATGATTGAGAGTGGTCATTTGTTATATTGTATCCTGTCTTTCGCTGTGCTGCCTTATCACGCTACTCTTCTGCAATGCATAAATAAATCGCTGTCGACTGTGGGGAGGAAAAACATCTCAAGTCATTCCAATAGATGAGTATATTAATAAGACGAAGACGATCTCTGGACATTCGCTAGCAATTTGCATATCGAGGAGAATCACACTTTTTCCGACGCACTTCAGTCACGATTCTTGCAAAATCTCAACTGTGGAATTTTTGCGGAAGCTCTATGGAATTCTACATTGATTTGCCGTTTTGCTACTGCGCCTAGAAATTCTCAGATCACATGCAATTTCAATTTATACTTAGAATCTCTGTGAACAGCTTTAGGCATTCAACGCTGAATGTTAATCTCGAGGGAGAGAAAGAGAATGAAAAACCAACATTAAACTGTAAATTTATCGTATTTTTGCTCGTGCGTTTAAAAATTCCGCATTTTTGCTGATCTTATCGCGGGGTGTTTAAACCAAAAGCGACTGCAATAACGTTGGTGGTGGGCATTCCTTATCGGTGCACCGCGTCGCACGTCCAAAAAAGCAACTCAATAAATATTGGCGCTAGTCAATGATGGAGAGATATTCATAAAATGCACGTCAGTGAAATTTTATGAAGTTGTTTGACTTGTGGATGATGTGGAAAAAGACAAAGGAGTTCGCGATATTAAAATTCAAGCCCTCTATCCACCTTGATTCAAGTTCATTCATTAAAGATGAATTGACTTCCTCTTTCACCATTGTTGCTTTGGGAATTTAACAAAGAAAATTGATACTTGGGCGCAATTTATGAAAGATCGGGTTTTTTTTTACTTCGTCTTACATCTCAACTCACTGGCGGAATCAAGTTCTTCTCTTATTGTCAATTGTGCTTGTGCGTACTTTGTTGATACCAATCTCCCATTGGCAATTTATGAGATGCTGCACTGGCGGTGCGTTAATTTTTCGACCATCAACAGGTTACTGAATGTCAGTCCCTTCATATTAGCCAACAAATGCACACCATTTTACCTCATAAATAATTCATTTAGCAAATTAAATGGCTCAGTGAATTTCGTATCAATCGATGGTGTTTGCACTCCATTTTTTTTCTCTCACTCTCTCGTCATTTTGCAGTGGAAACAAAAGTATGGAATACTATTAGCCTACATTCAATGAAATGTGCACTTAAAATTAAAACAATGTAATTCGTATTTTCAGTTGAAGACATTATGTATGGAACACCAAATTGACCTTTCCCGGCTGCAGCTTGACTTTATGTTTTTACTGAATTGAATTTTAAATAATGATCGTTATTGTCCTCCCATATGGTGGAAAAATGCGGGCACGAGGTAGTCAAGTAGAAGTACAAATTTTACATTTATTTGCAATAATTAAAACATGAGCTTTTAATTTTATTCTCTACTCCTAAGGACACCATCGGAATATGTGCTCTTTTTCACACTGCTCGCTTTGCTCTCTGCAAAATGCTAAAAATGGTACCTTCAATGCACTCGATGATGGAATTTCACTCGGTGAAGCATGATAAAAATACATGATGAGTTAATTGTTTCAATTGCCTTGTTTAATGCTTCATTTGTACATAAATAATTGAGATGAAAATCAAAAGCATGCTGTACATCTTTATTGATTATCGTCAAGCATAGTGTTGTAGTAGTCTAAGAAGTCGCCCTCGTTTTCAGTGTAGCCAGTATTGGTGAGACTGTTGGAAAATCCACTTATAGGCATAAGCTAAAAAAATGGACAAGAATTAATATGTTTTCCTCAGAAATTCGTCATGGTTTTTGTACTAATTCTTCTCAGTATCACAGTGATTTCCACCATAAATACACATTTTAGCTCTGATTCTCGCTCGATATGGAAATTTCGTTAAAGCGACATGGTAAATATATCACTTAAATAATTTGTACAAACATTTGGTGAAAGACGGTAGAGTGTTTTGATTACCTCGCTGGCACGGCTGAAGTCTCCAGTCATGAGTGTGTCTGCTGGAAATCTCTGTCGCCCACGATCGGAATAGAAAGTGTCGTGATTCTCAGAAAAATTATTCAACATCTCTCGACGATCAGGAGTGTCCATGAGCACTTCGAGGACCCTTTTCTTGCCGCGATTTGGATAAAAGAGATCCTGCGATAGCAAATCATTGGCCAGACTTGCGGACTCCTTCTTGATCTTCGACTTGGAGTCCGGATCGAGGGGCGCCTCGCGCTTGACGGACTTCTTGCCGCGATTCGGGTAGAACAGGGGCTCATCTTGCAAGTCCAAGGGAAAGCCCCGTTTCTCCCACAGCGCCTGTTGAATCGTCTTTTTGCCGCGATTTGGAAAAAACAGCTCATCGGTCGGGATGATATCATCGAAATTCGCCATCTTACTGTGCCCACTCTTTTTCCCACGTTGAGGCATAAATAAGTCTGTGTTGTCGAAGATACTGCTCTCCAGTGAATTCCTCTTTAGCATCGTATTGTAATTACTCTTCTTTCTGCCTCTTGGTGGGATGAATGGATCTCTCAGAGAGTCTGGAGTGAGTACATGTGGCAAATGGCGCGATAGTTCAATTGATAGTGGATATATATTGGACTCAATATGGTTCTTACCGAAATCTGGAACGTCCGCTGTCTCACGGCGAACCAATAAATAATTTGGCTCCTCAGCAAACAGTGCACCCTCACGCAATCCCGACAGATTTACACTCTTCCACATTCTCATGCCGGACATACGTTTTGGCGATAGCGATGGATATTTGCTGGACAACTTAACTTGTCGGCATTTGATGGCGAATCTGCGAATTTGATGCAAAGCCATAACTTTCGCAGAGAGTCTTCACCAAAATTTCCTTCACTCACTTGCTATTTGTCTGTTGACAGTCAGGATCATTCCTCAGCAGGAGATCCAGGAAGTCTTGAGACGGAGAACTTCTCCTGAATCTTGTATCGCCCAGGGAAAATTTCTTCTCATGATCTTGCGGCTCATTATTCATCACCTTCTTCTCAACATCTTTCTCATTTGGCTTCTCTGTCACAATCTGGGTAGTTGATGAGGATTGAATGAAGTTGAAGAGGGGCAAAATAAGTATAATTGACCAGAGTATCAACATTGTGGCGGTCACAACACTTTCATACAAATTATTCACTGGTGCTTCGACAACAAAACGAAAGAAATCACTGACTGAAGGAGCCACAGTGGAGAGTCCTTTTATAGGGATATTTCTGGACCAGGAGAATTGCGTGGTGAATGTGTGGCTGATGTATTAGTTTAATTCCATAACAGTCTGGAAAATTGAATAAAATTGTACAGGGAATACACTTTGAGAAATTGAACAGAACATTTTTTTTCTCATGGAATTTCTCAGGGTTTGTGTGGTGAATTTTGCAGTGTCAGTGGTCAAGGGGATAATTGCAAAAATCACAGAGCAGAAAGCAAATATTGTGGGACATTTTTTCAATTAATGGTAAAGCAGTTCTACTCCATCAATGCCGTATTTTCTCTGAAATTAAACTTTAACTCAATTCACATGGGAATTTGCACGAAGAAATGTCACTCACGTGGACTTGGAAAGCACTTTTGCCTGATTAGGGATTTATGAAAATATCGCATGGCTAAGAGGAATCCTCCTGTGAAAATATTCCCTTTCTGGGTTTCTCTCTATCTTTCTGCCTTCCAAATGGTCATAAAAGTCATAAACACGGCCTGAGAAGTGTTTAATTATTTAATTATATGTCTTAGTGAATAAATTTTCACACATTCTCTCTCTCTGACCGTGGAGCTCGTTAGGTGAAATGGGTCATACTCCTGCACATGCACTAAAGTCTATTCCTCGCTCACTTTTATTTCCAGAAAGAAATAAATGACGTCTTCGAGCAGCTCAACCATAAAACGCACGGTGCAAAAGATGAAGTGCTCCCATACACTAATAATACGGAAGCAAATAACGTGGAACGGAGAGGAGATAACAAATTACAGAACGAGGTGCGGTTAATGAAATCCGACGATCTAGTAATAAAAGAGGCAGAAGATCCAGCCGAGATCGTGAAGAAGCGAGATCAGCGGGAGAAAAGATGTGACCACACGACAAGAGCCAGTGATGTGAGATCGACAGAAACATCCATACTGCCGTGCTCGAAGGACAGGGAGAGAGCAATGATCAATGAATGGGCCGATAGTGTAATGAGAGAATTCGATGAGCTGGCTGATGGGGAAAAGAAGCCGGCTCCTGCGGTGAACAGAAGGCATAATCGACAATGGAATGGCGCTCCTCGTGCTGACCATCCGCAGCCATCCAGTGACACTCTCGCGAACGGCCAAACTGTAAGCAATTCAACCATTGTGTGCCTATTATATTCACGCGAAACCCCTGAACATCCGCAAATGCTCCTCAAATTTCCATAACTTTCTTCTTGGCAACGGCAAAATCACGAGTTTGGCACGGGGTGTGCCGAATGTAGGTGTCATCGGGCGCTGATTATTTCTCATTCATCGCCTAAACAATGACAGTATTTATATAAATTTTCAATTACATATTATAATTTGTGACTCAGCGTGGGTTAATTTCATGAATGGAACAACACTGAAAATGACTCTTTAGAAGACAAAAAAAATGTCATTAACTCGCTGAATAAAGGAGACTTTCCAAAAACAGTTTTGCGAAATCCCTCATTGAAATCGCTAAATTGGAATTTTAAATTCATTCTTTTATGTCGTACAATTTTTTTTTCTTCTCAGTCTTCTTATTTTATTAATGTTGCAGTCTCAAAGAGACACACGACAATCGATCACCCATTCATAAATCATTAATTTTTCTGACCGAATTGTCCGTTTTGGTTCTTTTATTTCCCATTCATCACCACCAATCAACTTAAGAATAAATGTAATCCATCTTTTGGGACAGTCAACAATGCATTTTTGATTCGATCGAATGAGGTTTCCTTGCATCACTAAATAAAAAAAAGCAAATAAGCATGTGGATGTTTATGATTTGTCCATGTTTGCAATATAATTTAAATGCAATGTGTAATCCCGAGCAATCCATTTTGCAATCAACTAATCTGTATCAATTGAACTCTCGACTTGTAAACTGATTGAAGCACAGTTTGAGCGAATTTCGTAATTAGCAATCAATTTTATCAATGCGGATGTTTGTTTACTCTTCAATGTTGCTTAACAATTAAATTCGTGTCTCAGAATCAGGGGTAAACTGCAAATAAAACGCCATGTATTAATAGAATATGCTTAATACAGCTGACAATGTTTTCTTTGGAGCAACACTTTGTTGATTATAGCAATTTTTGCCATGACATTGTGACTATTTCCTCACAAGATCTCTCATATTTGGGTCAGGAATGATTAAAGAGTGTCGGATTTTCAAGAACAAAACACTAATCCATCATCAACAGATCACTCGCTTGTCGAATAAAGCATTCACGAGCGCTAATGATCTTGGCCACTTGAAATCTCTGTCTCTCTCTGAAGTAGAATGTCTATTTTTTGACCTTGTTTTCAGGATTCCACTGGTTCATCGCCGATCCTTCGCAATTCCTCAAGCACCGTGCTGAAGATCGACGAGGAGACTGTCGATGAGAAGCGAGAGATCTCCACTCAAACTAGTCCCAAGCTCAATGTGGTGAAGAAGGAAGTGTCTCCGGATGCCTGGACTTCTGAAGAGTCCATCCTTCGCGGAACGGACACTGTGGACGAGGACAATAAGTGAGTTGAATGGTAGTTTGCAGTTGATTTCGATACTAATTGCATCTCTTGTGATTAGGTCAACTTCCTCGTCTGCTGGAGAGGATGTTTCTGCAGCCATGAGCTCAGGAAAGTCTGGCAACTCTCTGAATTCCTCAGTGGATGACAGTGCAGAGAGTGGACTCGGCACTGCCTCGTCCATCCATGGATCTGTTTATCGCAAAATCAGACCTTATCTGCATCAAATCTCTCAGAAGTCCATCGATGATAAGAACATCTGGATCAGATGTGAGAACGCCACGACTCAGACGGGAAGAATACGTCCGCCACTGAAGCTGATAGAGAATGCTTCGTTTGTCTCCACTGACGACCCGGATCTGCTGGAAGTGCTGAGTCTCTATGACGACAATAATGCTGATGATGATGAATTTGCCATCTCGGATTCGGAAACCTCGTCGAAATTCCAAGACGACACTCTGTCAGAGGACGCACGGTCGGAGAAGAGTGTGGTCAGGAGGGTTCCAGAGGATCAGAGCGAGGATGACGTGGTGCTGAGGCGCAAAGGCAGCGTTCCGAAGACGGTCAAGTGCTTAGACAGACTGGCGATGTCAGTGTCGTGCAGTCCAAATGGCGCGAACAAACCGATAAATAACACTTGTATGGTACCTGAGAATCAGTGCAATAGCTTACCTTTGAATCGACGGTTGGCGAAAGAGAAGCTCCTTCCGCTGGTGGGAACCAACAACAACAATAACAACGAGAACATGAGCGATTCCGCCCTGCCCGTCAGTCGGCGACCCTTCTGCCTGCCCATGAGCCAGGAGTCATTCCACAACATCTCCCAGTTGCCATCGCCCAGCTCCACGTCTCTCCACAGCGGCGGCAATCGGCGGTCAGCACTGATGGTGCAAGAGCTCACCACGAAGAGCAACTCAGCGCCGCTGCTGCTGAAGAAGGAGCACAAGCGAGACACCTTCACGGATCAGACAGCCGTAAGTATCACAGTCTCAATTGGGGCCCAAGAGTCCCCCTGATAAGCTCAAGCACCAATTTCGTGAGTGCGTCCTTGAGATAGATTTGTATCATTATCATCTCCATTTACATACACCCAATGTGGACTGTGCAATCATCTCCGGTGCTATAATTTGCACCTCGCGATCTCGCACTGGGGCAGACAAGAAAATTATTAGATTGTGAGCATCAGAATAGAATAATAGCACCAAAGTGGATTGTCATTATATTTAATGATTAATTTAATGCGATTGTTCACAATGAATTACCAGAAAACGCGCCACTTTCTGCCAAGGCGCGCCTCTCTAATGGGGGAAGTTTTCTCCTGGGAAAATTACACACCATTCTGTGAGAAATGTTTCATGCGTTATTACCATGAATTTTGTCTTCTTCCAGAGTCTACGATACTCACGATCGCAGAGCGACAGATACTTGGCAGGTGAGTAATTTCTGAGATCACTTCTCGCATGCTAAATTCCTGTGTATGGATTTTTATTGACGCAGCACAATTCATTCATGAAGTCGAAACTTGACCGATATTTCTCAGCGTAGCATTTGCATTTTATTATGGTGAGATTAGAGATGCATGAAAAAATGTTCTGAGAAGTTGTGTGTGAAAAGAATCAAAGCACGCAAAATTAATGTGTTGTAAAATTTCAATCTATCACAAGCATACAATTTTGAGTGATGAAAAGTTGTATATGTTCAAAGTTGCGAATTGCTTTATCAAGTTTTTCGCCTCCCACCTCCCCAAGAAGTGCACAAGGAAAGCATCTTAATATCCCTTTACTGCCAATCTCAGAAATTGAACTTATACGAAGTTTGCCTCGGATTGCTGTGATAGTCAACACACAAGTCGATATTGAAGGCATCTCAAGCATTGCCAGAAGGCACTTGCGGGAGGTATTCTGAATGAAATTCAGAAAATGCCGTTGATAAATAACGATGCAGAGGAGAATGTGTCCTTGTCATTTGGTGTTCGCTCTCTTCGGGTTCACATGAGCAGCAAAGTGCCTTGGGAGATGTCAAGGGTGGCGATCTGTTGAAGTTTTAATACCGCATAACATATTTTTGAGGTCACGAGCCTCGTCATTTCTCAACGGGCATCGCGCATCTAACGATGAGGCGATCACTCAGCACAATTTGTAATTTGGGTAAAATTTCCATGTTTCTCCGATGGGCGGAGGAGGGATGGTTATCAGTGCGCGGGTTATAATTTTATTTTATCCTGTGATATGGACGCCGTGTTGTCCATATCGTTTCATCTTTCATTTCGATTTATTTTATTTTTGCCCACTCATTGGCCCAGAACGCATGCGCACACTCATACTGGCAGAAAGAGCTTTCCTCACATTGTACGGCCGGATATTCATCATTCGAGGAGAGTGTGAAAATGAGAAGTTATGAAAAGCCACGAGACTTTTCTATACATTGATGGGGACCGAAAGAGAGAGAGAAATGGGAGAGAAATTGTGTGAAATGAAGACATTCTGCGGGAGAGCGTTTGGCCTTCCGCAGAGGAGAGAATTTTGCACAAAAGTCGAAAGCACATGTCGAGAGGGAGGCAAAATAAACTTTTAGTAGCGTTTAAGGTGTTAAGCGTGTCGGAGCGGCTAAATATGATTTGTTCTCATTTTCTTTTTACATCCAACTTAACTTGCTCAAGTGGTTATTTTGCGAAGTTGAAAAATAGTTTGGGAAAAATTTCATACCAAATTCACCAATTGTAGATTTGTGATCAACAAGAAGAAAAAAACTATGCACTCTATTTCAACATGACAAACGACTTGTTTCGCAAAGTGTTGCACTAAGTTTAGTGTTCAGTGTGGCAATTGGGTGTAAAATTGGAAAAAAATTCACCATTTAGCGTGACTACAAATTGCGGGCTTTGATGGGAATGTGAAGTTATGATTACCTAGAAAAAAAGGTCTATAACAAAAACACTTGCTTTGAAATTGATCTGAATTTTTGTGCTTCGTCGGAACGTTTTTGTGTGAAATCTTTCAATTCTACACGTGGTTCACAGTTGAAAGAGAAACTTCCCATACGCTTTGCGTGCATGTTAAAAATATTTCAAGTGTCCAGTACATTTTGATTTATTTGTACTACTGTGTATTTTGCTAGCGTGATTCGCGGGATTTTTTCTCTCTCTTTCTCGACGGCAAAAATACGCCTTTGAAAAGAGCGCGAGAACGCAAGAAAGAATATATTTCAAGTTTATACTGGTATTGTTGTGCGATATTGGCAAGATGCAGCGCCGAATGTCGACAATTCGAGAGTACAAGTTCTTCAGGAGCTTCTCTGCCAAGGTAGACAATTGGCCCATCCGGAAGGCGGAGGCCATTTGGCGGAAGATGCGAGAGAGGAAGATTGCAGGTATTAAATGAGAATTCGCATCTAACACAAGCATTTTCTTATATAAAAACTTAATTCCCTCGAAAAATTGTAAACATTTGCGTGATATTTATAGCATAAAAATTTTGCGTCTATTTCTGTTCAATTAATAAATAACGTGAAATGTTGACCTTTCTCAATTTGTACACCACATTTTCATATTAAAAAGAAATCTGTACAATGCACATCACTACAAGCTAACGCACTCTATTTATAGCCCCAATTGTTTCGCATTGATTTGGCATTTTATCACGATTCGTGGGAAAAAAAATTGACCGAACGGATTTGATGAAATTTCTGTCGAATCTCGGATTTGGAACATTTTTTTGGGAATAATATGAATTTTGGGCGATGGTGCAATTTAAAGGCGTGATTTGCGAGTGAGCAGAAGCCGTTAAAAAAAACGTTGGGGTTTTTATTGTTCAACCTCGACAGTGAGAGATTCGAAGGAAGTCCACGAAAGTCGTCACAATGGTCATTGGGTGTTATATTTTAATTTGCTCTCTGTCTCACACGCGGCAAAGTATCATTACCTCAGGTTTCTCTCGGCTTTTTGCACGTCTTCCGTCCGTGGCACACAAAAAGCTGTTTCGGAGTTAATAAATTTAAACAATATTTCGCCCCGCGCTGTTGCAAGGGAATTTTTTAGGTGTCACGACGGAGACGAATAATGGGTGGAAGTGAAATTTGTGCTTCATGCACTTCATGCCATGTAATATGTGATATACAAGAGCCTCTGCTCTCTGGGACATTGAAACAATTTCAAAGTAAATACATTGGCTTGGGTAAGATAAGGCGCGGGAAAAGTGAAAAGGAGATTGTATCGAGAGCAAATAATATTCTCACTTCTTTTGCTATTTGGCATAGGACTTGAGTGACTACTAGAAATGCGCAATTTGAGCAATATTTCTTACGAAAGCCAGTTCCTTATCTGCTACATGCGTTACCTTTCCGTGTTACTCATTTGCCAGACCGTCGATCCCACAAGTGCTGCATTTTCTCTCTATATTGACTCACAATCAACAATGTCTTCAGGAGCTTGTTGGACTGTCGAAGAAGTTATTTGAGACAAATGGCGCGCGGAATCAGACGAACACGGAAGTGGTGTTGTAGTAATTTTTATATTAATTTATTGCATATAAATACACATCGCACTTTATTAATTGGACACATTTCCAGCTATGATGCGATCATTGGTTCTCCTAATTTCTAGTATCCATCTTTTTCTCTTCATCCTTGCTCGCATTGTATCCCGTCAACTTTCTCCAGAAGTTCACATATCGATTCTTGGATTTATCTTTGGACTTTGGCTTTTCTTTAACCGTCTGTTTCGAAACTTGTGCCATTGGCACCTTCTGAATATGATCCGCAATTTCAATTTCGGCAATCTTATCAACTTTTTCCACTTCTTTCACAGTTTCAGTTTCTATCTTCTCAGTCCCTTTATCACGATTCTCATTTTCATGTGACGAGTTCGCTAATGGCTTCACCTCCTCACTAACCCCATTGTTCTTATCCACCAAATCGACTTTATCATCGACGACATCCATCAAATTCCCACCAGTATCACTTGACTCGAGATTGACATTCTTACTGGCATTCTGATCGTAATCCACTTTGGCGGACATGCTGCGCTGGAACAGGACTGTGTATCCTTGCAAATTCGAGGCGCTATTCCAGGTGCCGATGTTGTTGTACCCATAGCTATTCCTTCTCTGCAACACAGGCTTCAGAGGCACTTCCACATCCACGACGATGCTGGACTCGGCGCTCTTCATGGCGTTCAGCGCTTTCATGGACTGAAGGAATCTCTTCAGTGGATCCTCATCACTCAGCTGCTCTTCAAACTGCTTCTCGCGCTCCTCCTTGTCTTTCTCAGCCAGCTGATTGCGATACTTGAGTGACATAACATGGCGAGAAGACACAGGCGTTCCGGGAACACTCAAATCGATGTGCTTGTATTCCTCCTCCTCAGCCTCACGATCGATTCTACTCTTGCCCGGCAGCGATCGTCGCACGGTGGATCCTCTCTGGAACACCTCGGTTCTGGTCTCAGTGAGGAACCTATATTTGGCCTGCTTATTGCGGTCAAAAGATCTTCCACTGGTGGCTCTCGCCTCGCGATCTTTAATGGCAAAACTGTGTTCACTCATTTTCTCTTCACCCACAAATCATATGACACTCTTCCTTTGATATTTTTCAGTCCACTGCTGACTTGAAATTAAATCGATGTGATTTATTTTGAAGACGACGTTCCACATCGAGCTGGTTTTTACTTTATAATAATAATTATGAAAGGCAGTGGAGATAAGATAGCGCGCAATCTACAGTGACACATTGCCGATAGACGTTACACACCTTTCACTGGAAAACGCCTTTATAGGCAAATATTTTTTCCGCCTCTCCTATTGATCGTCTTTTGTGTGTCCTCTGGGTTGCCTCCAGTGTAAATAACATCAAAGGGATTAACTCCATGTATTGAGTGTTAATTTTTATATGGGGGTGTTGGCTTTCTCCTACTACACAAAATCCATCCACTCGTTTGCGGAGGTATTTTTATCTCCAACCACCTCTTTTCACGATAAATTTGCTGTGATGTGTCTTATCAGTATCACATGAATCGATGGCTTCATGAATGAATTAATGTCTCAGTCGATAAGCATGGCTGTGCACATTATTGTGATTTATTTTTCAATGTTCTTCTTTTGCAGAAATCGAAGCCATTGAGGCCTGCAAATGGCTGCGAGCCGCTGGTTTTCCGCAATACGCTCAGATGTACGAAGGTGAGTGTCTCACTTTACGCCCAGAAAGATCATAAGACTTCCTCGTTCAATAAATGAAAAATTGCCCATTAATCAAACGCCATGTATTTTGTGGGAATTTTTTCTGCGTATTTCACGCGCCAAAATGATTCGCAATCTTCGCAATGTTGTATAATTGGGAATTTTCACGAGTGATTTAAAAGTATAATCATGCCTAAAGATTATGATGGGGTAATTTGCGAGATATATATTGTCAAGGCTTTTATTGAGCTTTCCTGATTGATTTAAATACTTTATGTGCGCGCATGCAATTGAAAATCTTTAAGAGGAAACTCGAGAAATCGGGGTCACACATCCCCTAATTGGCTTTATGGCCAAAGGCCTGTGTAACTGAATAAATCAAGACGGTGAGCTATCAATTTGAATATCTTATACTCCATTTCAATAATGTCTGTGCGCGATGATTTCCATAAACCCCATCACAGACAATTTTCATCTCGGTGATTTGCATTGTCCCAAATGTAGGTAATTAATGCGCTTTGTCAATTTTAAATGCGGAACACAATGGAGAAGCCTTTCTGCCACAGTCCATGCTTAATATTAATATTAAATCACTCTACATATCCTCTCAGTGGCGCTCATTGTCTTTGGGAGGTGCAGTAGAGCAAATAATAACTATCAAAGACGAATTAATGACAAATCAACATTGAGTGATTCAATTTCATATCCAATATGGCACATGGAGAGAGTGAATGGTGAATTGAATAAACAAATTAGTTGCACGGAGAGTACATTACCATGTGCTATGTTTAAACACGTTCGCAAGCTTACACAAAATGCTATATTTATGGTCATCTCGCAGTGGATTGATAATGTACATGGGAAGGTGGTTGAGTGGTGCTCGTGGGGTCTCTTTAGGCATTTCTGCGACGAGAGACACTTTCAATTGGTGAAATGCTATCGAATTTCCTCGCCTGAGAGACAAGCCATTGTTGATGATTCATTTGGCAAAATTGAATTTCACGCGCTCGATGGCTCGATGGTTGGGGGAGTCTTTCTCGTGAATTGGGGTCATAGAGCAGATTCTTTTTTAATTTAACTCACAGAGCAAAATCGTCTCTCTTTCTTTCCTGGGCTTTGGAATATTTTAACCTACATTCTACTGTGTTGGTGGTTCGATTGAATTTTCCGCCGTAACCCATTTTAAGCCTCTGTGGTGATGAATGGGTGTTGGAAAAGTGAAGAATTTTCGCTGAGGAAAGCAAGAAAAACAATATTTTAATTAGCAACAGCATTAAGTTGCCATTGCGAAAGAATAATTAAAGGCAACAAATGATTCATAGTCGAAGGTTGGGTGTTCTCACGCGGGACTTCCTGGAGGGCCAGAGAGCGATGCCACGAGGGAGATTTAAATCGTGTTTGTGAGATTATTCATCGGGAGAATGTGAGATATCTTGATAGAACTTCCTCCCATTCTTCCATCGGGTTAATGATCACCGCCTCACTCCAATCTGAGATACTCTGACTAATCAACCAGTTGCACCACTTTATATTTTCAATTCCACAAGCCTCAAAGGTCCGATTTCTCGCTTGGTAATCGGATTATTTGTGAGAGTTTATATAAAAATACCATGCGATGGAAGCTGAAAAAAGGCACTTTTCTTTGTCACGCAGAGCCCATTTATCCATGAGTGAAACTGCGCGTGAATTTTCACTGGAACGCGTCTGACAACGTAATCATGCGACGAAAATGATCGCAAAGAGATCACTTATGGCTGTGGCTTGGCGAAGAGATCGCGGCCCAGCGGTGTGACAATGCCTCAATGAGCGAGAAATTGAGATGTAATCCCAATTCATGTCTACCGGAAGTGTTTCAGACTAATTTGTATTCTATTTGGCCGCGCTATAGTTGGCCTGTGTGTTGCAGAATATCTAGTATGTTGTCGCTTTAATGGAAAAACATATTATCTGCGTGTTGAAAGTGTACGTGCATATATCATGGATTTCCAATAAATTTATTCCTGTCCAAGTGTCTCGGAGTCTCGAAACTTGCGTGCATTGCCCACGAGTTGCACGGTGATGGGTGTGCGTTGAGGAGAATGAATCACGACATTCTACCCATGTGTATATTGAAAATTTATTCAAAAAGCTGATTTTCTTTCAGTGCATCACTCCTTGTTTTGTATACACTATGGAAATGAGATGATATATTTCTCACACACTCGCATGAGTCGCGGAGAGAGAGAGATATATTTACCATATAAAATTCATAATTGATACATACTTTCATCTTCACTTTTATATGCGTTTTACCATTGCACTCCGTGCCACCATTTCTTTTCCCCAGCGACCAATACATTAAACGATCAATGATCCGTGCGCGATCGCGCAGTGAGGAGAATACAGTGGGCAGCGAGAGTGTCTGAGCGGGATTTTGCGAATGAATGGAGAAAAGGTGCAGATGAATATTTCCGTCGCTCAGTGTTTGTGCCACTCTTGGACGATTCTTGGGGTTATTGCATTTCGTCGTGGAAATCGCCTTTTCGATGATCGCGCACAGTCAAAAGCTCAAACGGCTCGTCAATCGCGAAAAGCAAGTCAACGCTGCATTCAGTGGCTTTCTGGCTCTCGCGCGAGATCAATCGCATTTTCCTCGTCAGTGCTTCGCGCGCGCGGTTTCTTCAAACTGAAAAACTTCCCTGCACAATTGGCCCATTGATCCGGCTCCCCATGTTAACTTACACAGCTGGAGAGGAGCTGATGAATTAATTTGAATTCAATTGAAATGCACAGAAGTTTCAGCGATAGCGCAAAAAAGATCGCCTTTTCTCCTAAGAGTCGGTGAGAGTGATGGAAAACGGCCCATTTCTCCGTGCCATTCAATTATTACCCTCAATGGTGGAATTCATGGACTTGTTGCATTTCATCTAGGAACGACAATAGAGTGTTTTCCATTCACTCTCGTGTCTATAGAGGCGCTGGTATTATTTATCGATATTGTGCAAAGTGTGGAATCAATATTTGAATTATCTGTCGCTCGTGTGTGGACAGAACGAGAACATCTTCCCAGCAGAGACTGTGCCACAGAATAGATAATTTGCAGTTTGCTAGTTGCGGTACCACAGCTAATACAATAGCAAAGGTGTACCACCCACCCACCCACCCAACATTGTGGCCAACCTTATAATTTCCAGGGCAACGCGATGAACGAGAGACTGAGGATGTGTACGTAATGAAATTTCTAAATGGTATCTCTTAGCAATGCTTATGAAGAGCATTTTCATGCCACACAGCTCATGCTATATGTCTGTCCTATTAATATCATGAACATTCCCTGTGACAAACCAACCCTTTTGTTGTATTTCGCCACCACCTGCTCGCCTCCGCCCGCATCGATGCCTCGTGAAGTGTCCCATGAGACTGAAGGATACATCCTTGCCTCAACATCTCATGAATTAAAACTTTAAGGGATATTTTATGTGCAATTTTAATGGATGCTAGAGAAACGAGAAGTTATTTTTGTACAACCGATGGCATTTATTGACTCTATATCCATACCCAATGCGAGATAACTTCAGAAGGACTCGTGCTCAAATGGAGTTTGCACAATCGGGAAACTTCTGGGAATATTCACAGTCACTCCAGAGAGTGTGTTTAGGCCAAAAATAGTCTAATAAGCACTCCCACACTCAATGCACTTGTATTTGATGCTGCAGCGAAGCGCTATGGAACGTCCTCTAAAGCTCAAGGGTGGGAGTTTGTCATTGTTTATAAACTTTGCAGGAATTTAAAGGCTTTAGAATTTCTTTTAATTATGAGTTGGAAGCTTTTCATGCGAACGTATACAGACTATAAGGAAGAGTTGGGATTAAAATGGTAATTATTCTGCGATTTTTAATTCAAAAAAACTTCTCGTGCATTCAGAGAATTTATGAGAATTTTTCCGCGCCAAAATAGCATTTTAATTATCTGAGAATTTGGGTTAAACTAAAATGCAACTTAGATTTTTTTTCCCAGTCTGAAATCTTCAAGTGTTACTCTTAATCAAGCTTAGGAAGCGAAATGTGTCACCAACGTCATCAATAATCTGCCTGTGAGTCTGGCTTGGCAGAGTGATATTCCCACTCAGAATATTGCACGCGTTGCGAAATGGAATTCTCACGATCACTTAATCTAGCCACTTTTTCATTTCGCTCATCCTCAACTCAGTGGGATATCCATGTCCGCCCACAAACTTTAATTATGAATAACACCCTATGGAATATTTTTGCGTGAAATCCGAAGCGCTTTTCGCTCGCCCGCAGAAATATCGCTCAACTGTGTGATGTGACTTTGAATCAATTTAATTTCAATTACAAGTATTTTCCCATTAATTCCACTGAGAATCGTTAATTCGAAAATAATAGATTGCGCCACAGAGCGTATTTCCATAGCCTTGGAGGAAAGAAGTAAATGGCCAGAGCATGACTGTTTAAATACATTCTGAGAAATTTGCATGGCACAACAAAAATATCCTCTTGCCATGGTGGCCAGGCAAAGCCCCAGATTCCGGATGCATTATTACGCACGAGAGCTGAAGGTCTGGAAGTTGCTCTCCGCGATACCTGATGAGTGAAATGGAGAGTCCCCGAGGAGATGGCATTGTTCCGTCTTCTCCTTGGACAAGCCTGGGCGTGTGAAAAAATCCGCAATTCTCCCGCGAATTTTCTCCCTGTTAGACACGAGCTCAAATTGAGCTGGAAATTGCTTTATATATTCTCCCCAATTTAACGACGCGCAAAGGGAGCCAAATTGTCTGGTGGAATTGATGAAATGCGGTGAAGCGGAGCGCTTTAAAGTTATTAATATCGAGCGCATAAAAGAAGGCAAAATTATTTTACAACATCGACTGTGGGATAAATTTATTATCTTTATTCATTTAGTGATGCTCCACCGTGTTTGAGAAATTTGATTTCCGCATTTTCACTCATTTCACCCCACATTTTTTTTCTTCTTCTCACGTGCGAGCACAAAATGAATATTCGAATGTGCATCACTTTTATGTATATTCTCCATGGCGCTCTTCAGAACCGCCGCATACATGATTTTGCATTTATTTGCTCTAAAAAGGATTCTCGATGCGCACAGCTTTTTCCTCATCTGATTTTGCACTCTCTCCAATTCAATGACGTTCTGTGATGAAATGCTATTTAGATTGAATGGGGGAAGAGGAACTTCACGTCAGTTCACAATGAAAATACACACAATAAATTTCGATCAATATTGGGTTGACGCTTTTCATAAATATAAAATTGGGTGGTGATATTTTGTGGATATTCCACAAATATCCCCCACGTGTTAATAAACTATGGGATGAAAATGTGCAGCGCTATGACGTAAGGGAAAGTGCGTGTTGATTTAGTGGAATGCGTAAAATTGTGGTGTACGGAAAGAAGGGAACGTCGTTCTATAATTAAATCGGATTCTATGGTGTCGACGAACGCGTGAAAGTTGCAAGAGAAATTCTTCTAAAATACCACAATCGCAGAACTCTCCTTTAACTATATTAAGAATTCCAACTACTGAGAAGTGGGTTAAGATAATTCACACATGTCATATGGGAGTGATATTCATTATCGCATAAGATGTTTTCGCTCTCCTTTGAAGAATGACCCCAAATCTCATGTTGTCATTGCAGAAGGAGAAGAAGGATGAGGAGGAGAGAAAAAAAACGTTTGGAGAACTTATATGAATGAATGATATATTTACACTAGTTTTCGGTGATCTGTTTTACTTGAGTTCCTCAGCATTAAAGAAAACCAGCAGAAATGTGACAAACAACATTAGTTTTGTGGAACACGAAATACAAGGAGCGTTCAGAGATTTTTCATTCGACCTGCTTTTTTCATTCTATTCCCCAAAGAATCTTGTGCAAAATTTATTATCACCAAGAAAGATACATAATCATTCATCTCAAGAGAAGATATTCTTGTCTCTGATTTTTTGATAAACATGCTGAAAGATCCTGACAATCTTCGGGCGATCATTAATATTCTCTTGTCTTTCTCCTCTCTTTGCAGACCTGCAGTTTCCCATTGATTTGAGCAACGTGGCGAAGGATCATCCCTTCCTGGAAAACGATCCCCTGCAGTCACTGTACCGGCGTCTCGTGGCCCTAAATCGCTGTGCCGCCATGCGACTGGACGGAACCCACAAGCATGGGAATGTGAGTGATTTCTGTGCGCAAATCCCCGCAGCTATTTACCCCCATCTCGAGGCAGCTCTGACTTTCTTTATATTTACTCAAAATTCCACAAAGTGGATGGAACAGTCATTCTTTTGCCATTTTCTATGTCAGCGCAAATGAGATTTGAGGGAATTGGGTCATTGTCCATCTGCTTTAAAGCTCTCGCAATGCCCGCAATGCTCAATATTTCAGTTGGGTAATTGTGAAAAACTATAACGTGGGCTTCGAGCGTAATTACACATTTCGCGGTTGTTCCTGGCGTCATTTATTTATTTAAAATCCAAAAATGTTTATCACCGGCTGGTGGAGAGCGTTTTGTTTTATTGATTATGTTTTGGCTCCTTCTTCATCAAGAACGTTTATAAATTTCCGCGAGAGAGCCTCGAAGGCCTTTTGCCACGATGCTTTGGGGGTTCCTATTAATAGAGATTTCTTACTAAAATAGTCAAAGGATTTGTTTATCCACAGATTGTCCTTCCACTCGAACGATCTTACACTTTTCAATTGATTCGCTTTAGTTTGTTCACTTTTTTCGCGTGTGATGAATTATCGTCTGAATATATTTCACGAGGAAATGGAAAAGTCTCGCCAACGAAGCGCAGTGATGGCAAAATCCTCGATAATTTACCATATTATGTATAAAGATTGAGAATTTATTGAAATCCACTCTCTAGCATTTGCTACAAATGAGTCAACATTGCTGAGGATTAAATTCCATACAATCCGCGAGACACTTTTCGAGTAGAATTTTGCTTGGCTCGGCAAACAGTGTGACTATGCATCATCACTTTTCGACGGCATAAAATATTTCAATGTATTCATATGTAAATTGCCGTAATGCTATTTGCACGGTGGATTTCGATTATAAACACCCAGTGTGAGACGTATTAAGTTCATTATTAAGTCGTGTCTATCGTCTCCTCGCCCTCTGGAGTACCTGCCTTCATCTCCATCATCATCTTTTGTTGACTCCGCATGGCGTGCAGATTCTTTCACTGCGAGCCATCATCGGGGTCTAATAAGGCATTGTGTGACGAACGACGATTGCTCCAGGTCATTCTCTTGCGATGCCCACGAAATGCCGAGCCACTTTCCTAGGCCATAGCGGAGAGAGAGTGTGAAATGTTGATTCCCCTGCAATGATGATGTGCTCACGTGTATCCGAGGCATTTGTGCCTCCACAAGTGACACCATAATTATCAAATGAGACACGAGGAAAGTATTATAACCGATTGTCCGTCACATTTCTCCGCAGAATGACGACTCGGACGATGATAGTTGCGCCCTGAGCGAAAACTGGACCTTCCAGCCACAGAGTCGGCGATGGTCACGAGTTGGCGAGATGGACATCCCGCCGCCGCCGGCCAAGGGTGACAAGAGCAAGGACAAGCTGAACATCTCCTCGCGGGAATCCTCTCCGGAAAGGTGAGAAGACGCCCGCCCAAATAGCCACTGGCCAGAGGGAAATTGAATGTGTAAAACTCTCTCTGTTTCTCCCCAGCACGGACGCATTTGACTTGCTCGGCCTGCCGCACGGGGGCGATGCAGATTTGCAGTCCAAGTTCCGTCGCTCCGGCAGTGAACGCCTCAGAGATGGCGCCAAAGCCCTGCTCAAGCGCGTCGAGTCGATCAAGTCGAAGCGGAGAAAACGCCAGAACAGGGAAGGTGTTATAATAAGCGGACCGCAGGTTTGTGCCTGAGATATTATGAGCTTGAATTATCGCGCGTGCCGCGATAAAGTCTAACATGTTGCACCTTCCGTAGGTTCTGGATTTCAGTCAGATGAGCCAGAAGATGAGCGACTTGAAGTGCGTGGATGTTTTCTCTCATCCATGCTCTCCAATTCCCACCAGTCCAACCATCATGACACCGAAGCATTTGTTCTTGAACAACAATGAGCTGCGATTGCCCTTCACTGATCCCAATCGTCTCAGTCCCAAGCATATTCCCAGCAAGAAGCATCACTATCGCTCGCTGTCCAATCGCACGAGTCCTCTGCACTTCATGGGCCAGACCTCATCGAAGTCCGGCGATGACTCCTCATCCTACTGCAGTGACACCAACAGTCAGGACTCGGGCACTATTCGTGTGGGCAGGAAGAAGCCCAACAGAGCCAGGAGATTCTTCCAGCGCGGCAGCAAGGTTGAAGATGCAGGCGCCCTGTCAGACTCTGAGTGTCATCCGGGGAAGAATAAGTACTTCAAGGATCCGTCAGTAGCGGGTTCGGAGGTGAAAACTTCGAAGTTGTCCAGAGGAGGATCGCTGAATCTTGGAAAGGAGTCTGACAAGTACAGAGATGCCTTCCAGAAGAGGAGCTTGCGATCCAGAAGCACAATCCGGAAGCATGAGCGCAAGACGGACAGCGACAGCAAAGATGAGGATGTTATTTTGAGATCAAAGTGAGTTTTACAACATTTTTCTTGCTTGTGATTATTCCAATTGGGGAACTTGTTCTTGCAGCCGAGGTCCTGTTGTTCGATGGCACAGCTTCCAGACTGCTGACAAGTCTGAGATCAGATTCTCACGGCCACTCTCCGCTCAAGGATCTAAGAAGAAGGAGACTGGAATTCAATTTGCCGCTCTGTCATGTGGTCAGTTCCAGGTCATCAGGAAGTTGGCCCTGGTCACGCTGACCGGCTACATGGAGCGCTACTGTCCGTCTCATCGATCGGGATGGAACTGGGAGTTGCCGAAGTTCATCAAGAAGATCAAGACGCCGGACTACAAGGACAAGAAGGTCTTCGGTGTGCCTCTGCTGCTGGTTCTCCAGCGAACTGGACACACTCTGCCCACCTCGATTCAGCAGGCGCTCAAGTGGCTGAAGGCGAATGCCCTGGATCAGGTGGGACTGTTCAGGAAGTCAGGCGTGAAGAGTCGCATCTTCAAGATCAAGGGCATGGTGGAGGTGGCTAAGGAGTCCGAATTGGTGACACTGTTCGATGGGCAGCAGGCTTACGATGTGGCTGACATGGTGAAGCAGTACTTCAGGGAATTGCCAGAATCTCTGCTGACCAGTAAAATGTCTGAGACATTCATTGCGATTTTCCAACGTGAGTAGAAACACTTTCATGTTTGCCCGACACTCTCCTATGCCAAAAAAGGAGTAAATAAGATATGGGGAGTGATACAAAATTCATGAGAAGAAGAAACCATTTTATCGCGAGGAAATGCAAACTGCTGCAAGAATTGGCCCTAATGAGTCTAATTGATATTTCAGACTTGCCTCCAGAGGTGCGTCTCGATGCTGTGCAGTCTGCCGTTCTCCTTCTCCCTGATGAGAACCGAGAGGTGCTCTACACCCTAATTGTCTTCTTGAATCAAGTGTCTGAGTGTTCCATGTTCAATCAAATGACTGCGAATAATTTAGCTGTGTGTCTGGCTCCGTCAATATTCCACGGAGGAATCATCAGTCCGAGGTATTGCAGCCACTTTATCTTCAAAATTGCCTCCATTTACCCACTCATGAATTGCCATTTCCAGGTCAAATTCCGTGTCTCCGCGTCGTCGAAAGCCAGCAGGATTGCCAGATCCGCGGGAATTGTGCGAAACAAAGGCCTCCCATGAGTGTCTCACTTTTCTCATCCAGAACTACCGCACGATCTTCATGATTGCCAATGAGAAGATGCAATTGTGCAAGTTTAGCTACATGGATGAATCCAAGCCGGTCACATTGGATACACTTGGTGAGGAAATTCAGCTGCACGACTGGCGTGGATATCTCTATGAATGCACAACGGCGGCTATCAAGGAGGGCAGAGAGAAGTCCCGAGGCTGGATATCATCCCAATCGCTGGACTCTCATGTGGACATTGCGTACAAGAAGATCGGCGATGGTCATCCGCTTAGACTGTGGAAGTGCACAGTGGAAGTTGAAGCGCCCCCAACTGAAGTGCTCCATCACATTGTGAAGGAGCGCCACTTGTGGGACACTGATCTGCTGAAGTGGCGCATTATTGACCAGTTGGATGAGAAGAGTGAGATTTTCCAGTACGTTTGTGGTGGACAATCAATCACGGATTATTGTGTGCTCAGGTAAAATGGCAGCGATGAGCTTTTCAAAATGAATTATTCAATTAAATACTGCTCTGATCGCAGGTCTTGGAACACTGAGCTTCCGCGGGGCGCTTGTGTCATCGTGGAGACATCCATTGATCATCCGGACGCTACTCTTCTCCTGCTGGGCGGCGTGAGAGGCGTTGTCCTGGCGTCACGCTACCTTATTGAGCCATGCGGCAGCGGCAAGTCACGGATCGTCCATTTGGCACGTGTGGATGCAAAGTATGTGCCACCTTAGCACTGATTCTCTCAGAGTTTAACCAACCCCTTTCGCATGTCTTGCTTATTCCTCAGGGGGCGCACACCGGAGTGGTACAACAAGAGCTATGGTCACATTTGCAGTCACTATCTCAGCGCCATTCGCAACTTCTTCAAGCATGTGACTCAGGGCCCAGAGAGCAAGGTATGAGACTTGCTGCAGCCGCCCAAGGCGCACCCATGAGAGCTCCACAATGGCCAGAGAGCCAAGATCCAGTGAAATGGACAGCTTGTGAAAATGTCTTTTGTGTATTCAGCTTTTCTGCTGCTTTGAGCATTTCTTTTGCTGTCTAGAGAACCTGAGTTATGGGAATATTTTCTTTAAAACTTGAGTATTTTCGGGCAAAATTAAGGACAAGCAATACTCAGTTCTATACCACAGTTGAACATTTCTTTCTCCAAACTTTGGGGAAAATAATATTATATATAATATTTGGTTTCAAATCTATCACGTTTTATACTAGTCATCTCGTAGATGTAAATTCATTTGTAAATGTGAAAGAGAAAATATTACTGTTGATACATATCCTCGTAATGAAAAGTGTACTCCTTTCGTGTAAATGATATAACAATCCAAAGAATGTCCTACAAAAATATATACATACATATATATCAAAAGAAAACAGTGTATAATGTTAGGTGAATTAGGGTCCAAATATAATCAGTCTACTGAAATGTTGTCTAATATACCATATTGTCTATTAAGATATACTTTTTTGTTCATAGTGTATAAAGGACTTATATAATATACAGAAAATAATTGATATTGTTGATGGAGTGCAGCCTTTTCGGGAACTTAATTCTGAGTGGGATTCTCAAGAATTACCCGAGAAGCTTTGGGTAAAGTATTAAGGAGAAAGAGAGAGAAGAAAACATGCATTCAGACAGAGAGTTAATCAACTTTATTATTTTTTGTAACACTATATTTGAGCGAAAGGAAAAAAAATCATCATTTTTTTGGAGTAATGTTTAAAGAGAAGGACATAAGAAATATATTGGATGGCATTTGACGTGTATTTAAAAGAAGAGAGCAAAGAGAAATAAAGGAAAATGTTTATAGAGATGCAATTTTATTTCAATTGATAGTAAATTCCGGTTTCCTCATTTTCTGAAAATTTGGCACAATTTTCCAATTGTCTACATGCACAAAGTGTTCCATATAAGTACTAAGAGAGCGTCTCCAGCATTATTTCTCATCTCCTCTATAGTTTAAATTAACATTCACACTTGATTTTATTTCCTTCAATTTCTGTTACAGTTTATTATGGCGAATAAAATATTTGAGACTTGATTATGGCAAATTAGTTCACAGGATGTTGACTATTTAGGATTTCTTTTTCTTAATTGTTCAGGTTTTGAGATTCACTCCTTATTTACATCTTCCACCGTAATTGCTGTCATTCCAATTAGCTTTTAACTTCTCAAATTTTTTTCTTTTCTCTTTTTTTTTGATAGAAAAATAATTCATCTCCACTTAATTTCCATTATTTTGTAATTCACTCCAACATACTTTGAAAATTGTGTTGGTTTCATCTTTTTTCTTTTTCTTCTATCTCTGAAAGAAACGCATATTTTTCACTGCCTATTTTGGGCGTCAAAACTATTACTCAAAATATCAACATTTTATCTTTTTTTTTCAATTCATTTCACCGAGAAAAGGAGTGGCAAAAATTTTGGCCGATTTAGCATGTCCAGTAGAACTTCGTTGCATTGCACTCTTCACATTTAAATCATACTCAATTATGCAGTAGAGATAGTCACTTGGCTTCGCAGAAACATGGGATCAAGTCACTGTTCTCCGGCTAAACCTAATTCTACACTCTAATAAATTAAATTCGTATACTGAAGTTCTCGAGCGCCTCTGTGGACACTCGAGGGTGAGTCAGGATCCTCAGGGCTTCAGGGGCGCTGAGGTTGCGGCAGTCTGGCCATTCCCACGGAGACAATGGGAACAGTGGTGCCGGACTTGAACACCGAGATCTTGGACGCCGCCAGGCGGGCCTCGACATCGTGATCCGCCAGGATGCTGGCCATCCTTCCGGCGCCAGTGTGCAACTTCTTCGGCTCACTGGGCACGATGTCCAGTTCGATGGATGGGACCTTCTCCTCCTTGACCGGCAGGCCGAACTTGAGGTGATTTTGGCGAACTTTCGTGCTGTTGTGCTTGGCCGTGATCTTGGCGCTGAGCTCAGCCGCCACAGTGACTGCCTTGGGTGACGACGAGTGCCTCTTGCCGGCAATGGGACTCGGAGAGGCGGAACTGGGCGGTGGACTGTCGATGCTCGAGACCCTGGAGTCGCTGCCCTTGCCAGGGGCATTCTTGTGCTCTGCCGCCTCCGAATTCGAGATGTTATCCTGCTTTTTCCACTTGGTTCGCCGATTCTGGAACCAGATCTTCACCTGCAAAGGTACAAAAATGCGGACAACATTGAGGACCTCACTCGCAAATGGCTCTTTCCTGCTTATGCATGGGTTGTGTTTCCTCTGCCGGAAGTGGACTGTTCTCGATAATAATTTAACGAGTTGCACGATGCATTAGATTTATTAAATATCCATACATCATCGCAATATCTATAATATATATCAGTGGCATGTTGTATATCGCAATTCCATAAACAGGTACACCGACATGAGCAGGTAATCTCGGGGGGAAATGCATTACATAGGGATCAGGCGGTGCCTCTCTCCGATCCTTCATTTATTAACATATCTCCGTACGCACTTGCATTGTCAGTGGCACAAGGATGTGCTTTGGGATGGAGCTGATGTTAAATAATATAACACACTTGTCGAGATAATCGCTTATGCCAGAATTCAGATACAACGACCTGATATCCGCATACTAATTTGTATTAATTGGTATTTAGAACTAATTGAGGTCTACATACATTAGAGAGATTTGTGATTATCATTATTGTATCTGCTCGGGCGATGTTGTATGCAAGCGGCACATCATATAGCATTCACCACAGCAAATCATGTCGCACTTTGCATGGAAGTCAGGTGAATATGTCTTTATTATTTAATTTGCCTCTCAGCAATTCACTGTGTGAGCGTCTTTAAAGGGAAATTGAGTGCCGTCACATGGAATATTCTCGTCGACTCTTCTCGCTCGGTGGCTCGAGGAGGACACCTCGATGTTCATAGCACACACCAAAGGCACCATCGTGGGCGCAAAGTCAAAAGAAATACCCTACAATGTAGTTCAATTTAATTCATGACAGATGATCTGTTATTGTGGCATGAAATTATACATTTAAATCTCCTGACTCTCGGTGATACGTGTGTATTCATAGTCGCATAAATATTAATTTACACAACAATTGGCCCAGAGATAAAGCAAACAATAAGCCCGAAAATAGTAGGAGCTTTTGTGAAGCATTGTGTCTGTTAAATGTTTCTCTCGGGGCATTTTCTGGAGATGCTCTCTGTGCTTGAACATTCTCTCTCTCTCATTTTCTTACAATTGACGATTTAAAACACTTTAAAAATGTTCACTTATATTGCTCATCTCATTTGAGATGATTTTTTTCCTTTTTGGGGAAGCCAAAATGCCAAAAGCAAATAAATCACTCAACTCACTCCATCATATTTTGTCGACAAAATAATTTACAGCGTGCGAAGACCGCACTAATTTGTAATAAACTCCTTGGGTCAGTTGAGTCCCTGAAGGAGGGATTCTCTCGGCACTTAATAGAGAGTCTTGCTTATATACTGGAAAATGCTGGGATATTGACTTGTATCGTTAGCTGGGGAAACTAGAATTGTGTTTATTGATTTTATGATTTGTGTCGCTTTTAAACGACCCTTTTAGCCCATCGCATTTTCTCATTCAGTTTGCCACCCCTAGCATTGGGTTGCCGTATTATATTGTACATTATTGCCATCATTGCTGATGCTGCTGGAAATTGGAGAGATGGATCACCCTCTTCTACATAACAATGATGAGCGCATAACGTTCAATTGCCATGAATGTGCGAGGAGTGAGACTCACTCTATATGCCGTGGTCCTCCTATCAATCTCCCGAGGAGACTGGAAAAGTCGGAGTTAAAACGATGGCACGAAAATCATTTTATGCGACAAGTCTTGCTTTCCCAATTGTGTATAAATTTTATACCTTCCAAATATGAAGCACAGTGCTTAAATCAATTTGAGTTTTCACACAGAGTGACATTCATATTTTGTACTATATTTAGAATGGAAGCTGAGTGACTCTTTCAGCGAGATCTGGAGACAGAGAGGGAGAGAGGGAGAGAGAGAGGGAGCAAGAGTGAGATCTTTGAGTGAATTGTGCCGGATTAGGCTGAGATACGCAAATTGCGTGTTTCCTCCTTTATACTATTTACGCATTTAGCGAGAATACTTGTTTGGCAGGTTGTTGAGAAAAAAAGATTAACTCGAAAATTGCTCGGAATCGCGAATCTAAAGTTAATTTCAAAACTCTGTTCTACTTAGAATAAGTACATCACATTCCTTTGCCAACCATCCAGCGCGACTCTTGAGGCATAGGGAGTTGGAGCTAAAGTGGTTGCAGGTTCAAAATGGTGTAAAAAGGACACTGCATATTCATGTCGTGTTAAGAATGCAATTACTGGGCGATATAGTGAATATTTCCACAGACTATGTGATCCGGACTGCACACATGTGGTTTCAGCATCTCTCTCTCTCTCACACTCACTTCCCATTTCTCTGGTCGAGCCAAATGCTATTCTCACAAATTGTGTGTATCGAATTTTTGTAACATATGTACATATGAATGAATAACAGAGAGAGGCAAACAATATTGCCCGTAGCGAGTAAATTGTTCATATGAAATTCCCACTGCAAACGGCCAGAGTTGTGCGCTCTCGCTGGTGTGGGCAAATTTAATGAATCCGAATCGGAAATTAATTCGCGTATAAATGCCATAAACGGACACTCACCGGGACAAGAGCGCGGCAATGAAATCACGCTAATGCATTTTCTATGTACCCTCGGTCAGCATATTAGGTGTCGGAGTCCTGACTCGCCTCTCCTGGATATTATTTGAACGTGTGTAATGCGAAAACTACACAACATTCGGGAACATGGTGCTCCCATGCGCTTTTGGACTACCAATTTTCAATATGTTGCTACACACTCATGTTCCTTGCGGTATCACTGCTTTATTGTTCGCCACATTCGCTGCGTTCTCCATGGAGAACTCACCTATATCACACGGAGAGGCGGCGCACAGAAGGTGAAAAGAGTGGCGAAATCATGCAAGTTTAATGTCAAGCTGAGCAATTGTTACTCCAATTAATTAATGATATAGCTAATAATCATTCCCCCTTTTGCTGCAACTTTTTCTACCTTCGCTCCTCTTCCATCCGCGCCACTTTAGTTCAATTTAGCGCTCAAATGCCTCTATTTTATAGTTGCTTTTGCAGTTATTTATTTCCTTTTTGAAACTCAATCATGCGGCAGATTGAGCTATTTGTTGACAAATGTTTGCACTTGAGTTTTATTTAATTTTGCGTGTATGATATTTTATGCAGCATTTAGCCTAATGTCAAAAATCAATTTTTCCACACTCAAAATGCTTGTGATATGATTTCCAAGAAATCCATTTTGCAAAATACTTTCACATGGCAATCATTATGTCCGTGTGTCAAAAGCATTTAAGTCATGTCGAGAGCCTGTTAAAATTTTAATATAATTTCCCCACTTGCGAGAGGAAGATAATTTTATGAAGAGGCCATAAAGAAAAAGTGTTTCTCATGTTGTGCTGAAATGGAGCTGAAAATATATGTCTAGTAAATTGACAAATAGTCTGTGGTAGAATATTAGACCACACAAATTTATACACACAGTCTCGGTGGTGAGAAGCCCAAGAGGACAACTAAATATTTCTGAACTCAGTGGAATGTTCCAATATTTTACAGAAGATTGAGAACTAATTGTACATTTCAGTCCAATTTCTTGTCTCACTTGCATTCATTCACATCAAATGCCAGAATCACTTTAGTGAGATCAGAATGTGAATGAAGTGGTGAGCTAAAAATATCCCCATTTTGATAATTCATTGAAATATCACGCGCTCTGAGAATTCCTACTGTGTGGAAATTGCACATGATGATGGTGATATACCAGTTTTTTGGTGAGAAGTATAAACACCTAATTAGTGTCGACAGAGTGGGTCGGGGAGAGGCTGCACCTTTAACTCCTGTGACATCGAACATCGGGATTCACATATTGTAGGTCTTATTCTCCTTCAACCTCACATTCTTCGTTAATTCATTCTGGAGGGTGAGGAAAATTGTACAGTCTAAACTCGAAATTGAGCGCACAAAACCCGAGCAAGATTGACATTAGAAAAGAAACTGATGTCTCGCTTTTAGCCATTCGGCCATTCCTGACTATTTCACCGTCCCTGGCAAAGGTGAATTTCAGTCAATTTAACTCAACACCATCATGATTTAGAAGCATTCAGCAAAATCACATCTCCTCCCATTCGCCTCTTTGAGCAATTAGGTATGAGCTGAGAAATTTCCACAAAATTTGTTCAACATATTGTTTTGATAATCTCTTGGCTTTGGGTGCTGCCAGCGGTGGAAGAGTGGCGATATTTTTAGTTGGGCGACGAATGATGTTGAAGTGATTGTATAGTATGTAATATTAGCCTGCGGTTTACTTGATAGTCAGTCGTGAAGATGACACACAGGAAGTAGCTTATTAACAAAACACTTCTGCTACGATCCAGACTCTTGGGTGTTTAGTTTTTGAACTGAATTCTCACTCTCTCATCCCCACATAATATTTCCTAATGTATTACATTAATAGATTTCTCTCCCCCTTCGGCGCAACTCATCGTCCAAATGTCAAATGTAAATAAACGCACCTTTTTCCTATATAACCCCAGTCAAATTGCAACAACAATCCCAATCCCAAACGATTGTCGTCTCACACATATCATGATGACTGCGCGAGGCAATTTTCTGAGAGCCATTGAGGATGTTTCTCTGCCTATTAAATGAAGCGCGGATATAAATCAAAGTGAATTTTGTGACTGAATGGATAGTATAATTTCTCCTAATTCCTTGTTTATGTTAAATCATGAAAGAATTCAAAGCGGCTTACTGTTTATAGAGAGATTCATCAAAATTCAAAATAACTTAGAGATTATTGTATGTAATTTAATGTGGGTTTGTGCGCTCTTTATTGGTGTCTGTAAGTGTTAACTGTGTCAGAAATGCGGGTTGATGAAATTTCCGAGAATTTCCCCTCCAACGATTATGAATAATATTGTTTCATCAATTGCATCGAGCCATCTGATGAGGCTCACCCAGATGAAATGGCACCCAAGATTTCTCATTTCATCAAATCTCTCTCGCTCTCCTCACGTTCAGTTAAGAAAATCAATCAAGAACGGCCCCAAGAG